AATGTTATTTATACATGCACACACCCACATCAATACACATGAATTTTGTACTAGGATTGGCAGCAACAGTGCAAAATATTGCTTAAGCAGCAGCCCTCATCCCATCCTGCAAGGCCTCTCTCATGAGGTCCATAAACTTGAGTCAAGTAGATTTCCACTTTTGATCATACTGGAAATGAAATTTCATGGTACAACTCATTGTATTCATCATAATCATTTGCTCAACTTGCAGTGCAATGAGACTGCATCCAGTTTTTCTTTGCAACTTTGAATGCTTATCAGATAAGAGAGTCACCACATCTTGGTCTTCCTATGTATGATGCTGTTGCTTTACCAAATGAAGTTAGTAGATCTCCATTCTAAAATTATGCATTCAAAAATGGCTCTTGCAGATCTGCAAGACTGTTTTAAAACAAACAAACTACAACCTAAAAAATGTAAGGAAGTTCTGTTGCATTTGATAACCATGCTTATGTAAAAATAGCACTCAAGGCAGGTGGCATTTTCAATGATCTATGCCAGTTAAGAACTGTGACACTGACCACTTGCTCAGTATTTGTTTAAGGCTCACTTAACATCTGTTTATGGGAGGTAATATGTGCAAAAAAAATTTTTACAAACAACAATACAGATTTAAACTGGGGCAATAGTCATTCCCTTCTGCCAGTGAACCCTCATAGTGACCCAGCTAATAATATCTCTGCGTAAAAAGGTATTCACAGATCAGTTTTAAAAAAAATCAGGAAGTATATTTGAGTGCAGAAGCCACTTATTTGCTATGCATTGTTTTTCAATGGGATGCAAAAAATTATATCCCTCCATCCAAATCCTGGGACAATGAATTGCACAATTTAAATATATATATATATATATGTGTGTGTGTGTGTGTGTGTGTGTATATGTATATGTATGTATATATATAAATGCTGAGGTTGGATCAGAGTACCAACTGAGAAAGAATGGTGCTCCACTAAACTGCAATTCCCAGAATTCTTAGAGGAAGCCATGGCATTTCTACAAAGTTTCAAAGCAGTCAACATACACTATCATACCATCAAAACAAGAAAACAACAAGAACACCACACAATGAAAACACTAATCTCCAATAATACTGTACACTTGGCTGTTCACTGCAGAACATGGCTAGCTGGGTCACACTTCTGTGCAAAGAGGTGCATCTTGAGGAGATGCCTAAACATCATGAGGGTCTGTCGAACGGCATTAATGCTTCCCAGAGGATAGGTGCTGCAACACTCCATGCCTCAGGGTGCAATCCAATGACCTCTGCCCTGGCTGCATGTAAGCCTCCAAACTTGGGCTCTTCCACTGCACAGAGCAAGAGTGGCAATCTTCACCACTGTGTCCCTTCTACCACACATGAAATGCCATGGAGGGAGAGGGAAGAAAGCTAGGGTGCCATTCAGAAATGACATAAATCACTGGCCCTATCCTCCTCTCTTCTCCACGCCCTAGCATATCCCTTTTCCTAGTTTTCCAGGCCAATTTGCAACTTTGAAGGTTCTTTTCACACCTGCTGTGAGAGATCAGAGTCTTGGCAAGGTCACAGGACCTTGGAGGTCAGGCTTCAAATAATCCTACAGCTTTCTCCCACCCTGGACATTGTCAGGATTGCACTCTGGAGGAAAGGCAAACTTCAGCAGTGCATCTTCAGACGATCACAAAGATCAGGATGGTGCACAAGGGATAAGGCATTCCAAAGATAAACTGGTCCCAGACTGTTTAGTTCTGTAGTGCATATATGCCTGGAAAACACTATTCCTTTCAAATATAGGCAAAACTATCCAATTGCTGAGAGTTTAAGCAACCAAGTAAACACACTTTCACAGCTTCCTGCATTCCGTTTACTTTGTCTAATATAAAAGGTACAACTGCCTCAAGTTTACTGTCAGAACAACTATGAGCAACATTTTCACAGATGGGGTCACACTGGTAGGGTTAATATACTTAAAAAGAAGCAGACAACCTGTAGCCATCCAGATGCTTTGGCTTAGAACTCCCATCAACTGCAACTAGCATAGACAAAGCTGAGAAATCATCCCAGTTTTAAGGTGCACTCCTCACTTAAAAAAACCTTACAATTTGTACTTCATTAATCGCCATGAAATTGGGATGTATTAACAATCAACTAAACTTTCCATATTCTTCCATACTTTCTTTTTGAATGTTGAAGAGTCAATATATGTTTTAGGTGTCCCAAATACGTAGACTCAGATTACTAATGAAATGCATGCAAATTAACAGCTTTCCATTTTATTAGTCTAGCCTAACTATTAGAGCAGAGCATTTGAATTTGCTTGTATTAAAGAATTATGGCCAAAGCACATCAAAATTAAATAATTCTAGCTTCAAAACCAGGGTTTAGTAGGGGCATGTTCTTTCAGCCAAATTGAATGGAAGCAATCAATCTTAATGCAGGAAAGTCAGTAATAAATGGCACAAATCAATGTAAAACATGCCAACAAAACATCCCATGTCAACTAACTAGGACAGTGATACTATACGAAATTACCTGGAAGAAAGTCTTGTTGAGCTATGTGAGACTTACTTCTAAGACAAAGAACTTCAGTAAGTTTACAATCTCTTGCACGCATACTCAGATGTAACTCACTGAAAACAAAGATACGTTCCCAGGTGAACATGCATAAACTTGTACACAGGGTGGCTAAAAATCAATGATTTTTTTATTTAAATTGGATTTTTAAAAATAAAATGCTTTTTGAGGAAAATCTATCTAAAGAAAGTTTTCTCTTTAAGACATATTATAGTCCAGAGGTCATTCATCATGAAATAAAGATTAGTTTTTAATTATGCAGCTTGAGGCTGTATATTCAGGCAATGTTTCAATTTGTTGGTAAATGAATTCCATTTACCCATACACAATGTCATGCTCTTCCAGAAGTTTCCGTAAGAATATTGGGCAAGTTAGCTAACTAGAAGTTATTATCACAGGTGCATGCTTTTACAATTCTCAAAACTGTAAATTTGTGTCTGCAGAAATCACATGCCTCTTCTTCACAACAAAAATGTTATAAAACAAACATACAGAGTTGAGAAAAAGACCTTAATCCCATTGTTCCTTTGCAAATCTATGTACACTGTATCAACCTCTTAGCCCTCTTACCTCAATGAATAGAAGAAGATTAATGGGAGTGGAATAGATCTGCACAAGAAGCTAAGTGTGAGGAGGGAGGGGCAAGCAGTAAAAATAAAAATGAAATCTTTTGAGCAGAATACTCCACTAGTCTTTGAATCTTTTTGTGCATAGACTGATGTTTATCATATTATTCTTTCCCTGGAGGAGAAAACCTGTAATGGCAGCAGGCTGTAAAAGAGACCCACTTTGGGAATAGTTTAAGTTCCTCGACATACAGGTAAGGCAGGCATACATGCAAGTTATATAAAAACTCATTATTTAAATCTAGTTCTACTAGTGATTTAAAATATTATTTAAATCAAATCCACCCTACTTGCACATTTCTAAATCTCTTTAATGAAGTGACCAGATACAAAAAAGACAATAATGTCTAATTGATACAGCAATTCAAGCATAAATAAAAACAGCTCCACCTGACAAAACATCCTTTTTATGTTAACTATTAAACGATTCCTCCTGCCCCCCTATTTGACCATCCTAACTTAGGAAAATCATACTACAAGTAAACATAATAGATAACCCATTTTTATCATTTTCCAAATTAAATTTGGTAATCTTACAATGCATATTTATTTAAAGGAGATAATATACCCTGTGTGGTATAGCTGTTAGAATACTAGACTGGGGACCTGGGAGATGTGGGTTGTAGTCCCCACTCAGCCATGGAGCTCACTTGATGATTCTGGGCCAGTCACTCAAACTAACCTACTTCACAGAACTGTTGTTTTGAATATGAAGTGGAGCAGAGGAAAACCTTGTAAGCCACTTTGGGTTCCTTGCAAGAGGAAGAAAAGTGGGTATAAATGTAATGAAAAAGTAATATACATATTATAGATAGGCAAAATAAGGAACGGGGGCAGATAGCTCTTGCCATAAGAATAGCATTGCCTGTTTTTCTAAAAAAAACAAAATGCACACTTGGAAACAAACCCCACTGAAATCAGCTAGGTTTCATTTCAAATTCATTTGGTTAGGTTCAGACTGCAAGCTTTCAGCACAGCACATTCCTGATAACCAAACAAATGTCTAATACTTTCCATACAGTACTGATTTGTGGAGATTTCCAGCATTAACAGCCACACCAGAAATCTATGGAAACTGGTTACTAAGTGCACATTTGCACAATAACGACTGTTTCATTCATGCCTTGCTTCTTGGTTTCTTAGAGGCATCTGGCTAGCCACTGCAGGAAGGAAGGCACCACAGCCTAATTCAGCAAGTATTTATATTCTTAAAACAGTATGTCACAGAACATAGTGAAAGTACCCAAAGAACTACCGTAGTGAAAAACTACCACATGCTCAAACTGTACTGGCCCAATCAGCACTTAATCTTCTGCTTACTACTAAACTTACTGAATGCAAAACCAGAATGAAAATCATCCAAGGCATTTGTAAAGGAAAGTCCTGCGAGTTGCAGAATGCCAAATTCCAGGGCAGAATGCGTCTCCCCTGACCTTTAAAAGAAGCCCCTTTGTAGTAAAGAAACTCGACCTGATCAGACACACAACCCAAGATGCAAGGGCTAAAACTAAAGCAAATCGCTACACTCGTATTAACGGATGAGCGAGGAAGGCATTTGTACCCAGGAAATGTTCCTTGTTTTATGAAGAGATATGCCATCCTTCTAGAACTTGCCCGTGGGGTGGGCGCTGAAAACCAGAAAGATTCCCGCGGGCACATCTGACAGCTACTACTTCGCCACCTCCTCGACTTTGCACTATTTGAAGGCACGCTCCTAGCAACGTGTCACAGTAATAAAGGGGCAAGTCCCCTCCTCGTGGCTGCACACCGCCCGCCCGCTCTCCCGGGGCCAAATGACTCACCTGTTCCCTCCGCACCCGACCTGCTCCTCCTCCCCGCCGCCGCCTCCGCCGCCGCCCAGGGCGGAGAGGGGGGGAGAGGGCGAGGGGGGAGTCCGTCCTCCCGGGCCTAAGAGCCGCGCCGCACGGGGAGGAAAGCGGGGAGCGCGGCTCGCTCCCACCGCAGCGCCAGCGGCGGCCTCCGCGGCGCCACCACGATGCCCTCCCGCCTTCCGCTCCACCCCTGCCCCTTTCGCCGCGCAAAACGACCAAGGGGAAGGGGACGGGGACGGGGGGGGACGAGCGTAAAACGCCACTGCCCCCTCCCACCAACCCGTTGCTCTCCGCGACTGCGCCTGCGTGACTAACCGCGTCTCCTCCCGCCACCGTCGCGCTTTCCGCCAGCAGGGAAGGAAACTTCCGGAAACCATCGTGGGCGGCTAGAGGAAGGTTCCTCACAGAGCGCGCGCGCGCGCACCATAAACTCAAGAAAAGGAAGACTGATTCTATTTGTTGGGTGGCGGACAGGATAACCATGGACCCGAGGTTTCTCTCTTTCTGTGAATGCCGTATTTATTAAATTAATTATATATTTATTAATTTAGAACTTTCCTATACCGTCCTATTACCGACAATCTCAGGCCGGTCTTCCAATAAAATAAAGCGAAGCACAGCATCATCTTCTTAAAAAAAAAAAAAACCCAAATTAAAGCAACAATTTAAACCTTAAAATGTTGGGAAAATAGACAGGTTGCGGACACTGGTTAGCGTTTGCGATTTAAAAATGAGATAGGAGGTCCCTCCCTCATCTTTTTCCCTAATACAAGAAGAAAGAAAAACTGAAAGAGGTGCCAAGCCTTAGGATGCCCCCCCCCACCCCCTCAACGTCAGTAGAAAAATTGTGGCTAGGTATGAGTTTTGTCTACATATTTTGCAGCAATGGAAATACTACGTGTATCTATATTCTCGTCGGCCAAAGAAAGCTGGAGAGTCACATCCAAGTCAAGGTGTTTCACAGAGACGCAAAATGCCGCACAAATGGCACTTGCGCTCTTTCCCCGCCCCGCCTGCTCCGCCCCGCGCCTCCCCTCACCGCGCGCCTCACAGTTCGGAACTGCGGCATTCAATCGAGCATCGCTCTAGCCTAGACTTTCTATGGACGGGGAAGGAGGCATCGCTTGCGCTCTTTGGCGTCTCTATGGGGAGCGCCATCTCAGCTTTGGGAAGAAATGTGGCAAGGGAAAGCTATGCTATCGCAGCAGCCCGTTCCGAAATACACACTTTTCTCCCTCCGCTCTTCCAATGGCGTAAATCCCTAGCCTTTTCCTCTTGGTGAATGCACGTAGCTCGGGGAGGCCTCCAATACGCGGAGACTACAACACCCAGGTTGCCCTGCGGTCGAAGTCCCGTATCGCGTGGCGTCGCCTCTCCCTGCCAGCCGTTCCTCCCACCCAGCAGATGGAAGATGGCCGGGCTGAGCCCGGGGGAGCGGTGGGCTGAAGGTAACTTCTTGCTGGTGATGCTTTCAGAGCTTGGGCGAACTGAGGCGGAGCTGCGAGTTACCCTTAGGAGTGGAGATCGGCCGAGCGCGGGGAAGGCTGTGTGATATCCGCAAAAATGAGCCTGGCGGCTCCTTGAAGACTTGACAAGTGATTGTGACAGAATCTCTCCTCGGAGGAATTTGTCAAAATTATTCTTGTTGCTGTGTTATTCATCGTTGAAGCTACTTCTGTACGCTTGACATCCCAAAATTTCCAAGCATGGGATAGCATGTCTAGTGGGCAGAGGTGTACAGAGAGAAAAATAGTGCATTAGGGCTGGCACACTTCTATGCTAAGCTTACTTGCAAAAAATGAAAAGCTTGCATATGTTGGGGTTTTGTATAGAACTGTCACAGCCTAATGCTACCCTCAGTTTTGACGGACTTTTGGTTTTACTTTTTGAAGTATTTTCCGTTACCTGTGCATGCACAGGCATTTGAAATCTAAGGACATCACTTCATGCATTTGGCCTGCAACAGCCTCTACCACTATGGAAAAAAAGAGTTTTATGTATTTATTTGTTCGTTTGATTTATAAAGCTGCATCCAGTAGCCCCAACCAGGACCCTCTGGGCAGTTTTCAAAATGTTACAGAAGCCTTTCTTTTTGTTCAAATAGGTAGACTAGCACAACTGCCCCTCTGGTGTTTCTGACATTATGTAGAGCTGGAGTGGATTACAGGACTGAATAGGCTGATAGTGCAACAGGGTAAGAGGTAGCAAGGATGGAATTGAAAATGGAAGTTATCCTCATTTCTGGAGAAGGACGAATAGGAGTGTAAAATGTATGAGAAGCAGTTTAAGGTCAACTATGCCAGACAGAAAAGAAGAAACTAGATCATTCTTCTACAGTATGGTGCCTTCTGGATGTTTTGGAGTACAATTCCCATCAACCTGTGCTAGCATGACTAATACTCAAGGATTATGGAATTGAGTCAAAAGCATCTGGAAGGCACCACAGTGGGGAAAGCTGAACTAGATTGAATCCTGGATTTTAGTAACAGGTCCTTGTATCCATTTCATATCCATTTCATGTCAATGTATGTTAAATATCGCTGACAGACTTCTAGAAACAAGTGGTCATCAAGCAGCATACATGTGTCTTGGTTAAAGACAGAATTTCTATATTGCTTCAAGACATGGGATTTCAGCAGCATCCACATATTAAATGAATAGTCATCAAATGCTGAGAAATCAAGTGATATGCATGCATGTGTGAAATGGCCCAAAGTTCAGTATGATGATAATTTTGGAAGCTTTTGTTGTATTTCCCTTGCAATTCTAACCCTTTTCAAATATTAATGCCTTACAACTACTCTATTATTGTTATTTATATTACATTACATTTATATCCCACCTTTCTTCCTCTTGGAAGGAAGCCAAGATGACTTACAATGTTCTCCTCTCCTTTTTATTCTCACAACAACAACCTTGTGAAGTAGGTGGGACTAAGAGTCTGTGACTGGCTCAGATTCACCCAATAAACTTTGTGGCTGATTGGGACCAAAATCCAGATCTCCTGAACCCTAGTTCAGCACTCTAACCATAATGTAACACTACCTCTATAGCAAGCTGCCTTGAAAGGAAAACTGTTTTTAATTAAGATGCTAATTGTTAGAATGAAGCAACACAGCAAATTATGGAGTGATGGCTTTAAGCTGTTGTTTTCTTGGTTTCTAAATACTTTTTCTAGTTACTTAGTACTCGCATAACTTTTAAAACTGCAAGTTGAAAATTATTGGTGCAGTGTAAGACATCACAATAAGAAAACAGAGATTCCCATAGTGATTTGTAGTATAAACAACAGTGTCTGTTTGTTTGTTTACCCTTTGAACACAAGACCACCATTTGGGCAGTTCTCTTGGTGATTGCTAAATAGAACTTACTGGTTCAGAGAAAATATTCCTTTGAATGTGAGTTGCACGAAATTTTGTAGATAGCACAGAAGAAGTATCTTCATGCCCTCCTGCATGCTGTGAAGAAGCATATGGCTGGGTGGTCACTATTAGAAAAAGGCTAATGAGCTATGAGTATCCTTCATCTTGTGTGTTGCTATGTAGTTTATGATGGATAGTAATATGACCTTTTCTCCTTTTCCTTTCATAGTGAAGTTTGTGTGTGTTCTAATATGCTCCCCTCTGGTTAATATACAAAAAGAGGCATCTTTCTTTGCAGCATTAATTGATGAACTCAGAAGAAATCCATGCCCATCAGAGGAAGTGAGGGATAACTTTGATTGCTGTGGCTGTACTGACTGTATGAGGATGAAGAAGGAGCATGTGTGTGACAGTGGAAGAAGTCCATCCATGTCTGGGGAAGGAAGCATAACCTATACAAAGGAACAGCTGCTTGGGGTGCAAAGGTAAATAGAAAATCTCTCTTGACTAAGCATGCAACCTGTAAATCTAACTGGCAATGCTTTGTTTGTTCTTTCAAAGCATTTATTTCTTGGCTATCAGTTAAAAGACACCGAGAGCAGCTTACAAAAATCAATAACTGGACAGGCCTTGCTCCCAGGTTTACAATCTGAAAAGATATAAGGGAATGGATTGGTGCCAGGATGGGGAAGGCTGATGGCAATTCTTGATTAGGAGGACCAGATGAATAGGTATACATCAGCTCCAGATGTAGTTTGTACTGCACCTCTTGTCATTTGGGCCTGGCCTGTTCTTTGCAGGGGGGGGGGGGTTGCCTCTATTTCTTTTCCCCTTTTGAGTTCAAGCTTAATCTGTTTCTTCCTCCATTGCTTTGGGACAAGATGCTTCCTCTTAAGCCTTTCTGGTGACATTTGGGACTGGGTGGGTGGAGAGCTATGTGGGGCAGCTCATTAAGACTGCTGCTTCTCCCATCACTTCTGGTCATTGTGTTACTCAGAAGCCCTTCTTCAGCTGATCATTAGAGGACAGTTTTAATTGTTAAGACTGCTAATTAAAGATACTTTTTTAAAAGTCTGTTTTGATTCTAGGAAGGAAACAATATTAAATGGTGTTTTAAGAATAAGTGGTGGGTTTTGTTTATTAAATGTTAAGCGTCTTCTATGCTATTTTCAAAGTCTCAAAAAGCCAAAATTAAGCTTTGGTAAAATGTATGTTTATATTTAAGGATTAATCAGCTAAAGGCTTTTTAAATGGTTGATAGCCTTAAAAATGCACTCTGGAAAAGTAAAGAGCTGGATTGCAAAAGTGGAAACATTCTCTGTAGAAGCCAATTTGATAAGCAAATATCATTGTACTTAATTCAAAGATGCAGGAACAGATGTTTTGTTCTGTTGCTGTTGTTTTTAAAATGTTGGATTTTAGAACTATACAAGTTGGCAAAATGCAACCACAAAGAGCCATAGCAAAGTGCATGTGGTGAACACCATTTTCATTCAGTTATTCATCCCAATAGTGGGGATAATCCCTGCCCCCTCCCTAGCTCCAGCACTAGGATGGAAGCTGTAGCTTCTCTCATGATGCTCAGCAGGGTGGAGCAGAGCACTTGCCAGGTCAAGTGCAGTTGTGGCCCTTGCTGCAAAGGATTTGAAGAGCAAGTTAGACTGCAAGTAGATTAGCAAGCAGTTGAGCTCTTAAAAACAGGTATTATATAGTGTAGTGAGAGCCAGTGTGTCATGGTTAAGAGTGTGAGACTGGGACTCAGGCATCCTGGGTTCTACTGCCCTCTAGGCCATGGAGCCAGCTGGGTGACTCTGGGCCAGTAACAGATGCTCAGCCCAGAGTAAAAGCAGCAGGTGAAGAATGATGTAAGCCACTCTGAGTTCATAAGAGAAAAGGAGGATATAAATCTAATAAATAAATGTAATCTGGCTAGTGCACAGATTATACACAGTTGTAGTTTCCACACTACCTTCAGGGAAAGCCCATGCAGAGCATGCTAGAGGGGATCGCCAGGACATGGATCACCACATTGTTAGTTCCCTTTTTTCCAGGAAATGGCATAGGCAATAAATCAGTTGAAGCTGCTTTATTCATTGTACTGTTGATTAAAATATTTTCAAAATGCCTTTATTCTTCCAGATACTAGGGTGGCATTCAGCAGCATGAACAAAATTGCTGACACAAAATAGAATATGCAATAAAGCAGAAACCAGCCACTTCTCCATAAAGAAGCTGAGTGATGGCTAAAGTATCCCAATGAGTCAGCATTAAAATGCCTCTTCAGTAGAAAAAGGTGTAATCCTGGCCATTGTCTGAGGCACCGCAGGGTTTTTCAGATTCCCAGATCCAAGGTGGGAGACTAAACTCCAATCTCAGACCTGCAGATCGGAACATCATTCTCCCTCCACTACCACAGCAGCTTTCTAGGGTTGGTAAAATTTTTGACAGGGTAGAAGGGGAATTTAGTGGACAGGGATTGAAGGATGCTCTCCAACTATGCAATGTAGCAGATCTGACCCCTCCTTCCCTGAATTCTCTTCCATCTCTCTAGTATCCAGCCATACTCACTCCCATTCCTCCCCCTCCCCCTCTCCCAATATGAGAGATTGATTGCTCTCTCATAAGGTTTCCTACTAAGACATTTCAAGAACAATCTGTAAAGGGCATTTGTGGAACTTTCCCCCACATCATCAGACTTATGTTTGGGTGTTTCCAATGCCCCAAAAAAAGCTGCAATCAACCATAAAAGAAGAAACTTGCATCTGCTGTTACATTTTCCTTGCTTTATTTCAAAGTGCACTTGGGAATCTAAGTAAGAAACTTTCTGTAAATAATTGTGCCTATTTTGTAGAATAAAGAACAGTAAGAATTACTATGAGATTCTAGGCGTTGGAAGGGATGCAAAAGATGAAGAATTGAAGAAAGCTTACCGAAAACTTGCCCTTAAATTTCACCCAGACAAGAACTGTGCTCCAGGAGCAACAGATGCATTTAAAGGTATGTGAGTGGGTTTGGATGAGGCAGTCAAGGAGTGTAAAAGCAGGATTGTGCTCTGTTTAACAATGAAAATGGAAATTAAAGAGCAATTTCTATATGTTGGTTCTAGTAGCTGCAAACAGAAATTTGCCTACAAACAGTTGTATTGGAGGGTCTTGTTTGTGAATGCTCTGTTGTGGGTATGATTGTCAATAATCAATACCATTGTGTTAATGAGCCCCTTACCCAGGATATATAATAGCTTGGAGTAAGAATTTAAATGCGTTGACTGAGGATTTCTGCATATTTAAAAGAACAATAATCAAAGCTCTTTTAATGTCAGTTTCTCCCAACAGAGTAGGTCATATCATGACAACTGCATCTGGTAACTAATGGAACTTATGTGAACATGGGTACATTATCCCACATGTGGTGGAATTTTCCAAAGATTTTGAATTTGGTGGTGGATGTTTTGGTAAATATTAGTTGGTTTAAGGTGTAGGTATCCTATAACATAGTTGCTCAAATGCAGCAAGTGTATTTGCTATAGAGATAATCCAAGCAATTGAGAAGGATGGCATATAGGGTGATCTACAGATCTAATTTCAGATTCTACAGATCTAATTTCATATCCCAGGTATCTTGGAAGAAGAATGGCATGCAAATGTTTTGTCACTAGTGTGGTACCAGAAGTTACCTCTTTGCTAACATGTTCTGACGTTTTCTATAACTTTAAGGCTGTCTCTCATTTTACTGAAAAGTCTTTGTGTCAGGCCTTCTCTGTCCATGTTCCTAAGAGAGAGAACCGATGGGTTGCTCTGTCACTAGATAGAGGGCTATGAATTTGGAGCTCTCTGACTATTCTAGGCCCTGGCAGCAAGAGCCAGACAAGCCAATAGGCTTTTACAGCTTCCTGTTCCTTTTGACCCATCTAGCTTCCTTATCTTCCTGGGGTTGGCGCAGTTGTTAAAAGCCTTCTGGATCTTGCAGATCCAAGCATTTCCTTCCCTTTCCCCACAGCATGCCACCTTTCTACCACCACCTGCCCTTTACAATTATCTCAGAAAGTGGAGTCACTGCAGGATTTTCTGCAGTGCCTGGGTCAGCGGGAGGAAGAGTTACATTAGGATGTCTTCCTTTGCTATTTTAGCATTCTCTACAAGTGCAAAGGAGAAGATCTGCAGCATCCTATCACACCCCAGATGCTATCTAGGGGCCAGAGAATTGCTCTGTAAAACACTTCACCCATTGCAGTCCTGTGCTAGTTGGGCATTAAGACAAGATTGCAGTCAGCATGACCAGTGATGAGAGTACAACCTTTCCCGGCCTCTTTTTCTTCCAACCTGCAGCCATAGGCACAGCTTTTGCAGTTTTAAGCAACCCTGAAAAGAGATCACAGTATGATCAATTTGGAGATGAAGAGGAGACTTTTTATACCAACGTACCCAAGCAGTATAGCTATTATAGAGAGTTTGAAGCAGACATTACACCTGAAGAAATATTTAATATGTTTTTTGGAGGAAACTTCCCTACAGGTGAGTGTTCCTTTTCAAGGTGTGCTTTAAAGTGTAACCAGTACAGCTCTTAACAGATGCTGTGCAAGACTCTAGGTTCACCCCACCCATAGTAAAGCCATTTAATAAAAGTTCAAATTCTGTTACTTTTTGACACTCCAAACATCCAGCATCTGTGGTCACTTCAGGCTCTCAAGAAGTTGGAAAAACACTGTCTAGCCATGTTTTCTTGGTTGGCGGTACTAGTGTGAGCCTCTAAGATGTGATGCTGCTTTGGTTTTGACCAGTATACACTGATGAACCTGGTCAATGATGAAAAGGTTTGAATCAGCTTTCCTGAAGTACATCTAAAAATCCCTCCCCAACCTGGTGTCTTCTAGATGTTTTGCATTACTGTCCTATCAGCCCCAGCCAGCATGACCAGTAGTCAGAATGCTAAGAGTTGTGATCCAAAACATTTGAAAGGGATCAGGTTGGGGAAGACTGCTATATGTGCATTCATCTTACTAAACCAAGTCATACTTCATATTTGAGATGCTCAGCCAAAGACAGGATCCAGCCAATACATAGAATGACTCCTGCCTTATTCCACCAATGATGGTGGTCTGGGGCCCTTGTGATGCCAGCCTTGTGTTTAAAAATGAAGACAAACTGTTATATAATCATGTATGTTTACACAGGAATTGCTTCCCTTTTTGCCTTTGGGGGCTTGGTCCCAAGCTCCATGAGTAAACTCCACCAATGAGTTGCTCCCTCAGAGGGAAAGGATTTTTGCAAATACCCCATTCCAGAGAAAGGTGCCTTATACTGAGTCAGATCATTGCTCCATCTAGCCTATCTTCAACACTATAACCCCTGGTGGCTGTCCTGAGTTCCAGAGAGGGTTCCTCCCTAACCCTACATGGAGGAGCTGGGTACTGAACCAGGGGCCATCTACATGGTGAGCAACAGCTCCCTCCTGCGTGCCCCTGAAACTACACTCCAGTCCTGGTATCTCCAATGTGATGTTTGTGCCTACCAGGCTCTCTGTCTCTTCTGAAGTTTGGGATTTTTTTCACTTCCATCTAAATGAGGGTAGGATAGGGTTCAAAAGAGTTGTTCTGTGTTTTGCAATTCAGACCCCACCTCTGCCTTGCAGTTAGAAACTCAAGCAACTTACAGTTCTTTTATCCCCAGATTGCCTTCAGGGAAATAAATGGCTTGTGACTGGCTGCAGTTACCACTGTAGCCGTTTATATATAGGCAAGCCCTTCTCATGGCAGCCACTTTTAGAACACCCATAATGCTTCTTCAAAATGCCAGATGTGTCCAGTGACCCAAAATAGTGGGGAACCCCTATTCCGGGGAACTGGAACTCTACCAGAACAGGGTGGGAGATGGCCCAAGAGAAAAGGGGGGTTGGCAGAGACCTCTCCCTCCCTCTTCCTAGTAAGAGTCTCCTGGTTTGGAGCTCCTTCCATGAACAGAAGGAGCCCTTCTATTTGTGCCAAACTGTCCTATTATCCCATTACAGGCTCAGTGTTTGTATAGCTGTTTGCAGTATGATTCCAAGACCACATTGATTTTTATCACGTGTTTTATAATTGCCCTGAAAGTTGGCTGAGAAATATTTTAAATAATAATAGTTGATTCTGCAATCAGCAAAGACTAGAAATTAACTTTACAAATGAAAACTAAGATTCTTATGATGGGAGTAAGCAGCTATTCCTGCATCTCATAGGGATGGGACATTCATTAATCTTAAAAATAGCCCCTTTACTTTTGTATTGTTACTTTTCAACCCAGGCAATATACACATGTTTTCGAATTCATCGGTGGATCCCCCATGCTATCAACAGCGAAACAGACATGAGAGGACTTGGGTGCATGAGGAAGAGGAGGAAGAGACTAGACCACAGGTACTTGGGCAAGGGAATCTGTAATGAACGCCCACAAAGAGATCCTCTGTGTTGCTTATCTTAAGAAAGAATGCCAGCATTGCTTATAATGTGCAATATATGAGCCGTTTTAGAAGCCAGTGAGATTTATTCTTAGCACCTAGGCAAAATGTTCATGGGGTCAAGCTGGATGTTCGGTTGATCTGGCAGAAATTTGCATATGTACTGAATACAGATCTGTGCCTTGCTGAATAGCTGTGCGTCCTCCCTCACTATTTTGCATTGTTCCTGTGTATTCAGCACATACATGTATCCAGCATGCTCCAAGACACTCTGGAATTGTCCCTTGTTATACTGCAGGAAGGCCATGAAGTTCAAAGGGAATGGGCAGCTCAAGATCTCGCATGAGCTTCATTCCTTTTCCAACTCTACTCATCTACAATTCTATGTAATTTGTATCAGAGTAAAGAGCCTTGATCAAAAGTACTCTGTATTAGTTAGTTTAAACTATAATGACCAATCTAGTTCCAAGTCAAATAGCCAGCTAACATCTCTTCTCAGGGGACTATGAGTTGTATCCAGTGCTTGACTGACTTAAGTACTATAGTGGGTCTATTCAAAGTACAACTAACACCTGATGCAACCCTATATTTTTACCTTTGTGATTTCAGTTTCCTTCCATCTGCCATTTATACACTTGCCTAACCATTGTTCTCATTTCCAGAATTCCTACTCAGCATTCATCCAGTTACTGCCAGTCTTTATCATATTAATTGTGTCAGTAGTAACTCAGTTAATGGCCACTAATCCACCTTACAGCCTCTTCAAATCGTAAGTCTGGATACTTTTCTTTGTTCTTCTGGAAGAACCTGGTTTGGGGGTCCTAAGGGTTTTCTCACACTAACCTTTCCATTGTGAAGATCAACCCCTTGTTAGAGACAGCCTGGAGTTTGCTTTATCTGAAGGGCAGTTAAATTAGGAAGCTGATTACAGTGGAAAAGGCACTCTCATAGTCCTGCATTTTCCAACAGGGAACTTAATTCTCCTGTAGAAAGGAGACCCACAGGGTGTTGGTTGTAGCTGTAACAAGAACTAGATGTTTCTGAGTACTCTGCAGAAACCATATATTGAGTACTCTGCAGAAAGCATATATAAACACACACATATATTAAGGCAGGGTGGAATGTTTGAATAGTTGTGTTGGCGTATACCCACTGTTGGCCTAAGTTAAGTAGCATTAATTTCACTGAGTCTGTTAGGTGAAGAACTAACCCTCAGTGCAAATGCAGTGAGAACCAGTGTGGTATAGTGGTAAGACCGTTAGACTGGCACTTGGAAAATCCAAGTTCGAGTCTCCACATGCCCATTAAGCTTACTGGGTGACTTCAGGCCAGTCATGGAAATTCAGCCTAGCCTACCTCAACCCTACCTCACAGGGTGTTGTGAGGATAAAACGGAGAGGAAGAGAACATCAGTCTCCCTGAGTACAAGGAAGAAAGACAGGCTATAAATGTAAAGTAAATAATTATAATAGTTGGAATACTCAACTGACATCTACAATGTTGGGTACTACTCAGACAGAAGAGCTAATTTATACATAAGAACTGATGAAATACAGTTAGCAAGATGTTAAAAGTAGCTTGATTTGTTCAGTGTTTTTATGCCAATTAAGATTAAATAAAAACTGGTAACAAAAGACTTATCTCCTAAGTAACTACTTTAAACAGGGTTAGGGTTAGAGGAGGAGGCTATAAGCTTTGTAAAAGATGGTTGGCTTTAAAAAACTTATTTGCTTGATTTAGAAGAAAGGAATGTAGTAAAGTATATTATCATCATTATAAATAATAAAAAGCTACGTACATCATTTTAATGTTCCTCCAAGTCATGTCCCCTCTTACTTTTGCTTATGCTCCAAATTCTTTAGTTCTATACATTCCAGAAATTAATGTGATTCCAATGTATCAATGTGTCATAATACTGAAAAAGCTGTAATCCTTTTTGGCTGTATTTGCAGCTATTTAGGAGGATCTAATGTCCTTTACCTGGGGCTTTCCTTAGTCCTGCTTGGAAGCCTGTTTCCAAGAGCAAGTCAAATCACACCTTTCCTAAAAGATTAATCTACCAGGCCAACTTTAATGTGTTCTTAATGCATAAATCCCTAAGCAACTTGAGACCTGGTTATCTCCCCTGAGTCCCTGACTGATCTTTTTGATCACTCAGAGTGAAAATTGTTGAAGTGCCACATGCTCCTGAGGTTTCTTGAGGATCCCTTTAGCATTAAAATGTTACAGCTCCCATCCTCTGGAATGAGTTACCTATTATTAGTGGAAAGGCCCCCACAGTTCTGACGCCCAGGCATAGCCTCAAAAATGTATCTTTATTCGGGCTTTCTCAGATTCATGGTACAGCCAGCGATGGTTTGTAGTGCACAGGACAGCATGGAGTTTAATCAGTGTTTATTTTTTATTACTCGGTAGGTACATCATTGTTATGTTTTATAGCAGTTTTGATTCTATGATAGTCTGTGTTTACCACTTTGAAACTTATAAGGTGTATAAATCAGGTCAATAAATAATACTGCAATAGCAGGTTAGGTTTCTGGACATTACAAGACCATTACAAGATGGAAGGTTGTGGAGCATTTCCAGACAAAGGAGAAATAATGTAAACAGCCCAGAGAGCTTCAGGTATATAGATGTGTCAGGTGATACAGAAGTTAAATAAATAACAATAAACTGCTGCTTTGATATTTTTTCTTTTTTTGTGAAGACAGTAAGTTTTGAATAGAAATATTAATATGGCAAAATGTATTTTTCAGATCTGTTTCTAAGCAGGAGTGTTCTTCTTTACTTATTTACCTATACAGGACTCTAGGGCACACTGTTGTTAGAGAAACGCAGAACCTGCAGGTGCCTTACTATGTTGATAAAAACTTTGAGAATAACTATAATGGTAAAGAACTTGAAGAACTTGAAAAACACATTGAAAAAGATTATATTGATTATATCCAGAATAGCTGCAGGAAAGAAAAACAACAAAGTAAGTATTCTTGTGCTCCTTTTTATGCATTCTACATATGCATATTGTTTTAAAATCTAGATATATTACTTTCTTAATTCTCAAAGAGCACTCATAATTTGGTAGAGTCTGTTAATGCGGAAGTAGCAATAAATAATATAAAATACAGGAAAAAACATCAATGCACTCTAGTGGACTCTACTTGTTAATTAAAAACAATCCACAATTTGAAATATATTCAAGGCCAAAACTAAGCATAACTGTATTTTTCATTTTTTAGAGTCAGAGTTATCTAATTTGGCGAAGCTTTACAGAGATGAGCGTCTGAAACAGAAAGCAGAATCTGTAAGACTTGAGAACTGTGAAAAGCTCTCCAATCTCATAGAAATACAAAGGAGTCGCTAATTTGCAGAGGTATAAGTAGTGAGTGGTACTGACACATTGTATATGGTATTAGTAGGAATTTCAAATTTGCTCTGTTTTCCTTTTGCAACGAATAGGAAAAGCATAATATGGAAACTTTGAACAGTATTTTCATCATGTATGCAGAGCTGTATGAATCGAACCATAGAGGCAACACTTGCTGTTACACGTATGGTACATTTGCCTCCAAGGCCTAGCAGTTTTTAAATGTTAATAATTCCTTGGAGGTTTAATTACATTTGGCAACAGTCTTCATTTGCTACTTTGCTGCCATTCAAGTGCCAAGCACATGCTTTCTAGGAACACAGCCATCATGCTCACTGTTCTTGCCATGAACATAGAGCCCATTCAATGTCAGATCAGTAAATTCTTGGCATCTTTCATTGTCATTCCCTTATTTATCTGAAGCTCCTGTCTACTAGACTTGCACATAAAGTTTAGATAGAAGGAACAAGATTTGCTTCATTCTCCATTTTTGTATCTGTCGCTGGTCTGTTTCAGTAAAACTTGGAAACATGAGTCCTCAAGGATGTATTAGTATTAATGTTACTGTTGTTGTTGTTGTTGTTGTTGTTGTAATAGTCAAACTTTCAAAGCATTGCACAGAGATTAAAAGATAGGACAGTCCTAGTCCACATTTCAAAAGGCAAGATACAGAAGGGAAAAGGAAGAGGAAACCAAGCATTAGTGCATTAGCTTTCTTTGGCTGACAGATGGGGACAGGCTGGTTTTATCCTAGCCAGGAAACCCAGGAATGTAGCCCTTTTTTATAGGTGTATCCTTCTAGTTATATTTAATGAACCAAGGATCAAATTTTGGCCATTAGGACCACCTGGGGAATGAAGGTTCACTGTAATTTTTAGCAAGAAATGCATTCACTTACTTTCACTGGATCGCTTCCGTCCTACCCTCTTTGTTTTACCTTATCCTAAATCCAGTATGGTGATTTAATTAGATGTTTGTAACAAAGTGCACCCTGAAACACCTCTACAGGTCACCAAAATAGCACCTTACTAACAGATGTGTTTAGCATCTATAATTTCGGCCAGGATGGTTTATCCATCATCTTGTCCCCCACGTTATCGCACATTCCTCTGACCCCCGGTGTTTCATTTTAACTGTACTTGCACAGCTACAAGTTAAAATAAATATTCCTACATAATATGTGCTTAGGAATATTCTTAGGGCAGAATTCTATGCAAGTTTAGGCAGAGAAATGTCTGCGAAATGCGTAAGATTGTGTCCTTAAATTACATTTCAGAGATGATGGTTCTTTTAGATAATATTTGACACTGGATTTTAACCAAAGTGATACATCCCCTGCTTTAGTAATAAGAGTTTACAGAATACCATGTTGCAAATTGCAGGAAAAGAAGCATCCTGAACTTTTATATATAAAATTGTGTATTTTGTTAGTTGGTCCCACTTAGACTATAGGAGATCTATAGCAGATTGTAACATAAAGACCTGTTTTATCTTTTGTGAAACAGTGTATTTAAAATGTACTTCAGGTGTGCATGAGATCTGAAAATGGACCTTTATTTGTACTATTTATTTCACATCAAACACCAGCTTAATATTCTTATTTATTTCCTTGTTTATTTATGTTGCTCAGTGAGATTTATTTTTCTGAATGTAAATATACAGCATTGGCAATATGGTAATTATATCATTGCATTGAATACTTATTGTACAGTTCATTTTTCAGAAACCATTTAGGTGTGTAACATTACACCAGATGACTAGTATTTATCTAAAGTAAAGAAAATATGGAAATATCTTGGCTTAGGGTGATTAGTGGATTTAAAGTAAACAGTTCTCTATTACTTTGGCCTCAGCTTTTTTCAGTGTGAGTATAGCAGTATTTCAAGACTGCACCCATCAACTGAGAAACAATGTTTTGTTTGTGTGTGTGGGTGGGTGGGGTTTTTTAACCATAAAATTAAGTGTAATGCATCCCTTATCTTTGAAGATGACAACTGTAGCTGTGGTGTATGGAACTAAGAAATGAAATAAAAGATATGAATATTAAACCTTGCTTACATTCAGATTACCTTTGTTTTGAGCAACATCTTTACCATTGACTTCCTATGACAGATTTTCTTTTTTGACAGCAATCAATTTCAGCCTTGCAATGGGCACATTCCCATGTTACTCTGAGCCACTCTGTGAATAACCAGCAATCCATGGCAAAGCTCACATGTAATCAAGCTCACCATTGTTTGTGCCCCCCCACCGCCACGCTTCTCCACCCTGTCTATCAGGAAATATGATAGCTAAAGCCACCATGTTGTCTCTTCTCCACCTCGATTCATTCATTCATTATTAAATGTATATTCTGCAGATCAATAGTCCAGGATTCATTCATTCATACATCCATTCATTATTAAATGTATATTCTGCAGATCTAAAGTCCAGCAGGACTCTCTGAGCAGATTACAAAACACAAAGAATCAAAACAGTAAGAATAACAATGACAACAATATAATGTGACAATAAACCAATGATCTAAACAAACACTAACATAAATACAATCTTTAACAGTATAATATACAATATAATATACAGCTGAGAGTTTAAATGGTACCGTGAGAATTAAAAGCCAATGTAAATTAAAAAATATAAAGCATTCTAACATTTCAATTCCAATTCAAATCAGTTATACAAATACCTAGAAAATAGTGTTTTTGCCTGGCACTGAAAGAATTGTAAAGAAGGTGCCTGGAGAGCTGCTGTTTGAAGATTATTCCATCAATGGGGTGCAGTCACTGAGAAGGCCCCTCTTCTACTTGCCATCCTCCTGGCAAACAACAGATATTGATTGCAAGCCATTTTTGCTTGACACAGCTTCACTCCCCCCTTTTTTTTCTTCCTTTCATAATCTCTGACAGTTTCAGCACCTGCAAAATACCAAAGCAACATACTGGAAAGGTTGCCTCTAGTTTGCTACCTTTTCTTAAATGCAAGAAATTTGAAAAGGGTTTTTTGACTGGGACATACATATAGGTTTATGAGATGTACACATATGCCTCTGGGACATACACACATGTTTATGAAATTGCCCTATGAAAATAATCCTGAATGTTTCTGTTAAAATCCATTTTGTGTTCCTATACAATGCATGGCTTGCATTTTCCCACCTTCCCAGGCACCTAGAGTCCTAAGAAAGGTAGAAAAGATTCAAGGAAAGATTCAAGAGTCAAGTCAGACTAATAAAGAAATAGAAGTTCACACTGCAAGGGAAATTATCTATTGGCCAGCCCCTTCTGCATGGAAAGAATGTGCACAAATTTCTTGCACATAATTTTTAAAAAAGGAGGTTAAAAACCAATCACAGGCCTCAAATGGGCTACTTGGATGCTTTGGAACAGATGCCACTATCTGGAGATCACAAAAGGCAGTCTGTGGAGAAACAGAAAGAAAAAAATCATGATGGCTTGCCATGTTGTGAAAGCCCAATGTCATAAAGGGACACAGTGAAAACAGAAAAAGAAAATGACATATTGGCCATCTTAAGCAGAAAAGAGACAAAGGATACCTTTCAAAATAAGGACCGGCATTTGTGCAGACTATGGAAGACAGGAAGACAGTGAAGGGATCCAAGGAGGAGTGTCACATGGGCAAAGAATAATTTTGTCAGTGGGCCAAAAGGAAAAATAATTATTGGAGTCAAGGCAGGAAATAACCAAGAGATTAAAGAACAGGTAGGTGTATTTTTGCAGTATTGTACAAGAAGAAGCTGTACAACTTGGAAACTGATTGAATCTTCTCCCTCCTTTGCTCCATATGAAGATAAAGTCATGGTTGCTTGTCTCATGAATAGGATAAATATGGAGAAGTGAGAAAGCCTTAGGAAGAAAAGTTAGCCTGGACACGTTGAGTCTGAAACTATAATGAGAGTCTGAATAAGAGCCATCAAGTGGATATATCAGATTGGCAGACAGAGATAAGATAATGGACAAGGGAAAAGTCCTGTTTTTTCCCATCCAAATCCCATTCCTTTGTAAGGTGCTCTGGAGCCAGTTTTGCATATTAAAATAGAGATTGGAGATTAGCATTCCACAGCATGCAGCAATCTTTTTTTGGGGGGGGGTAGTATTAGTTATTGGTGGGTTTGAAAAATTGAAATAACACTTTTTACACACATTTCCTTGTGAACCATTTCACTGCTTTTTAAAAGCCGGACACAGCTTTGTTGTCCATTTGATCTTTTTTGTTGCATTGTCTTACTATTCATTTAAAAGTATATACTGTAGTTATATGGTAACTAATAAAATTATTCATTAAAGTGGATATCTAGTAGGTACATCACTGCCAACACCTATTTACTAAACTTCAAATTTCAGCTTTTTGTCACCCTTCTCATACTTGAAGCTGCGAAATCAGTTACTACAGAGGGCAGAATTACCTATGAAAGGCTGTCAGAATACTGTCCACTTATTTTGAAGGCATCTTGTTTTGAAAGGTTGTCCAAGCCAAGTACCTGTTAAAGATGAACCATCAGCAAAAGGAATAATCTACCTGGAAGGCAGACCAAGCAAGTCACACAGGTCACCCAACATGCTTATGTTGCTATGCACTATGTACCTATTAACATTTTAACGACTAGTCCTAAATTTGCGCATATGTGTGTGTGCGCGCGAGCGTGCGCATTTTGTACAAATTAGCCTCCCTTTCTTTTTGCCGATGTACAAGCGGCCACCCTTTCCCCAGCAGCTCGATCAAAGTGAATATACGCTTTGGGCAGCACATCACTTTCACCGCTCAGCTAGCGCGGAAAATCTGCAACCGCAGGAGTCTTTCCCAGCCTGCGCTTTGCACAGCATGTCAGCGCGTTCCGTTTCGGAACGGTCAGCAGCCAATCAGGCGCTGCAGCCAAGCGCAACTGCCAGTCCCACGCTGGGTAACCCGACAACGCTACCGCGGCTTTCTCTTCCGGGCGGGAGGGGGGGGGGCGTTGGAGAAGGAACTCTCGCGCGACCAGAGTTTCGGTCTCGTTTGGCCACTGGTCGAAGAGGAAGCGCGGGCACTTCCAATCAGCGCAGGCTAGCGGTCGAGAGCGCGAACATAAAATGGCATCGTCAGTCGCTTTCCAGCAGTTGCGGGACCTGATCGAGGTGCAGGCGGCTTTGCTGGATAGATTGAGGCGGCAGGTGCGAGGCCGGTGGGAGGACGGCAGGGCTGTCGGTCGGGAGGTCTGTCTCTTCCTCAGCCCCTGCAGCGAATCTGCGGTGAGGTGCCCTGGCTTCTCCCATTGTCGGGACAGCGGCAACACCACTAGTAGCAATTTCAAGGTCGTCTTGTCAACGCCCGAGAGGTGGCAGAAGGTCTGCTGCCTGTGACTGCCCTCTAGCCCACATACACAGATATTTTTTCTTTTTAAAAAATGTTCCTCCGTGGTTAAGAGAACGTAATCCAGGGTCGTGTCTCCCCTTGTGCTTAATATGTTCCTTTAAAGTATTTAGTGCAGCATACGTGATTCTTCCCCTCCATGCATGTTATCGGCATGGAATCATAAGATAGAGCTGGAGGGAGCCAGAGGGCCATCGAGTGCAGCCCTCTGCTCAGTGCAGGAGACCAAGTTAAATCATCCTCAGATGGCTGTCCAGTTGCATCTTGAATGCCTCTACTGTGACACTAGTTATTGGTTCCATTGTTGTACTGCTCTAACGGTCAGGAAAGTTTTCTTGATATCTAGCTGGAATCTGCCTTTATTCAGTGTCCCGCACTCTGAAATGATCGAGAAGAGATCCTGCCCTTCCTCTTTGTGACAGCCTTTCAAGTACTTAAAGAGTGTTAACATATCACCCCTCAGTCTTCTCCAGGTAAATATGCCCAGTTTTCATAGGGTGCAGAAAAACTAAAACAGTCTCTTCTCATTGTGTCCACTCCCTGGATCCTCCTCGTTGCTCTCCTCTGAACCTTTTCCAGCTTGTCTGCATCTTTCTTAAACTGGTGTCCAGAACTGGATACAGTACTCCCAATGAGACCTAACTGGTGCTGAGTAAAGGGGAACTAGTACTTCTCAGGATTTGGAAGCTGATGCCTCTATTAATTTAGCCTAAAATAGCATTTTCCCTTTTTGCAGCCACATCATTGTTCACTCATATTCAGTTTGTAATCTACAACTGTTCCAAGATCCTTCTCACTTGCGGTATTGTTGAGCCAAATATTCCCAGTCTTGTAACAATGCTGTTGGTATCTTTTTCCTAGGTGCAGAACTTGGCTTTTGTCCCTATTGAATGTCATTCTCTTGTTTTCAGCCCTGCACACCAATCTAACAAGATCACCTTGAATCTAATTTCTACCTTCCAGACTATTAGCTATCCCACCCAGTTTTGTGTCATCTGCAAATTCGATAATCACTCCCTGTATTTCCCTGACCAAATCATTAATGAAAATGTTGAAGAGCACTGGGTCCAGGACTGAACCCTGCAGTACCCCACTTGTTCCCTCTCCCCATTTTGAGAAGGTGCCATTGAAGAGAAAACAGAATCACAGCAACCCTCTAAGTTAAGCAAGATGAGCCTTCCCCTAAGAGGGGTCCACCAATTGCACTGGACTGCAGTTTCCATAACAGCTGGCTGGGAATTCTGGGAGTTGTAGTCATAATACATTTGGAAGGTACCATGTTGGGGAGGGCTGGATAATTAGAAGTTTAAAAAAAGATAGAAAAGGGAGGTTTAAACATAATTATTTCTTCTAAATTAATTATGATGGCAATTTGAACTTCAGCCTCCACAATGCTGGACAGGAGTAGCCACTACTCTGCTGTCCCATCAGATGTATGTGGGGCTCCATAACCCTTTCTTTCACTCTTTCTTGCTGCAGGCATGTGCTTTTTGAACGCTGCCAATGAACAGTATAGAATTATTAATGAATCTGTTATATTACCAATATCTATTGAAGCCTTTGTGGACCCTAAAATCATCTGGTTTGCAGAAGTACAAAATAATTCTGCATGGTGGAACCCAAAACATGTTTGCATGCTTAGTGGCCATTGAATATAGATTGATAGGATGCAAGTGAGGAGAATACAATGGAGTAACCTGGAAGAGGGCACTGCATAGAAATGCTCCATACAGTAACACTTTGTTGCAGGTCTTGCATGTAATTGACTATATAAACCATGGTAGTACATTTGTTTGCTGCTGAATATCAATTTTTGGGAATGAAAATAATGGAAGAGGACTGTTTGTTCATTTCCTTTTGCTGAGCTTCCTGAAAACTTCTGTCTGGCTACTGTTGGAAACAGTTTCCAGACTAGATGGAAATTTAGTCTGATGCAGCAGGACAAGCTCTAGTGTTCTTATGAAAAGTTAAATAAAGTTTATTTTTAGCAGTTATCTTGTTGGAACCTCCAAGTTCAGAAGCTGTGTACCGCTGCCTCCATTTGCTAGGGGACACCAAAAAGAGGGGTGCTTGTTGTTTTCATGCCCAGCTTTGAAGCAGCTGGTTGACAGTTGTTGCAAACTGGACCCTGGAATAGATGAACTTTTGGTTTGATCCTGCAAGGCTCATCTAATGTTCTTATTAATTATTACCTTTATATTTGGTTTCATTTAAGTTGATAACTAAATCACAATGTAAGCAGCAATGCTCCAGAACACACAATATCTGAAATATGGCACAGAAAGACTATGTGGTTATGTGAAGTGACTCACTGCAACTCCAACCATCCCCACTTGAGAATTAATGAATGTTATAATTTTATGCATCTGGAGGGCACTGGACTCTGGAAGGCTGTTTAATCAGACAGAGCCTAGGCAGATTTGTTGCTGTTATGTGCTTGTCAAGTCATAATGTAAGGAGTATAAAAATCCAATTGTCAGGAATAAAATAAAAAGCAGTGACGATATGGAGGCAAAGTAACAAGCAGAGAAGTTTAATTCTTCTTGCAAGAGCGGGCGCCCACCACACAGGTAGCACACTGTTCACACACAAAACATTTCCTTTTATTCCCTTTTCCCGGCTCGCAGACCCTTCCTCTTTTCTCCCATTGGCTGGGCTACTCAGAAGGTACATTCTTCTCCGTCCACCTACATCAGGGGTGTCCAAACTTTTTGCAAGGAGGGTCAGATTTGGTGAGGTGAAAATGTATGGGGGCCGACCATTCAGCCTGACATTCTTTGAACCATTAACATTAAATGCAAATGAACTATTTTATGAAAGACTAAACAAATAACTGCACTAATGTGAAGGGTGATACTGAGATCTCAACTGCATTATATAGGCCAGGTCTGGCTCAAAAACAGTGGTTTTGATGCACAAGATATCACGCAGGTGAAAGTCGCTTAGTCTCGTCCTCACGCGGTTCTTGTTAATGTTCATAACCCAGAATGTCTTCTCGTACAAGTCTGTCGAACCAATCAAGCTCAGCATTTTCTTAGCAAATGTTCGAATCTCTTGGAACCTGTCTTTATCCAGCTGGCGGTAAAAGTTGACAAGAGGGAGCTGTTGGTGCCGACTGCGACACTCGGTGTCACACTGCAGCTCAATGAGCTCCAGCTGCAGGTGGTCTGGAGCGTCATCAGGGTCCACAGAGAAAGGAGGTGAAAAAAGCGTGATCTCCTTTTCAATAGCTGCAAAATCCCGAAAGCGCTGTTGAAACTCCTCAGCCAGAGATGAGATGTCTGCTTCATACCTCCTTATTTGCGCACTCATATTGTTCTTTGGAAAACTGGTCATTATTTCCTGCAGTGATGGGAAATGTGTGGTATTGGGCTGCGTTTGTGACAAGTGCCTTTGGAAAAGTAGCAGCTTGGTCCCAAAGGCTTTGATATGTGAATACAGTTGGCTTACCACTGCATTTTGCCCCTGAAGGCTTGTGTTCAGCACATTCAGATGTCGTGTTATATCAACTAAAAATCCAAAATCAGCCAGCCAAACAGGATCAGATAGCTCTGGCATCGGTTGTCCCTTTTTTGCCAAGAATTGTCCAATTTCCTCCGTAAGAGAGTAGAAACGCTACAGTGCAGACCCCCGACTGAGCCATCTTACCTCGTTGTGATACACAACATCTCTGTATTCAGCCTGGATGTCGAGTAGAAACTGTTGAAACTGGCGGTGGCGCAGGGCTTTGGAGTGAATATAATTAATAGCCTTCATCACCAGTTTCATAACATGATCATATTTCAGATGTTTGGTACAGAGAACTTGTTGGTGAATAATACAGTGGAGTTTTATAGCTTTGCCTCCTTCGCTGACTTTGTTACAGACTAGGGTTGATAATCCACTTCGCTCGCCAGCTATGGCAGGTGTGCCATCCATAATAATCCCAGTGACTTTATTCCACGGTAGTTTCATGTCCTCTATGGCAGAACAAACAGAAATAATTCTGTTCCTCTTGTTTGGTCCTTAAGGCTCTGGAGGTCAAGTAGCTCTTCACTCATGTTCATGTCATTGTCCACTCCTCTCAAAAAAATCAGTAACTGAGAGGTTTCAGATGCATCTGTGCTTTCGTCACAGGCTAACGAAAAAAAGTCAAACTCCACTCCTTTTACCTCTAACTGTCTCTTAATATCAGATGAAACGTCTTCAATTCTCCGTACCACAGTGTTATGAGCCAGGCAAACATTGGCAAACTCTTGCTTCTTCTCAGGACAAATTTTCTCCACCATTTTCATCACGCAGTCTTTAATAAATTCACCCTCAGTAAAAGGTTTGCAGTGCTTGGCAATCAGCGTTGCCACCTCGTAGCTTACCTTTGTGGCATTTTCATTTGACTCACGGGCTCTTGTGAAAAAGTGCTGCTGTGCCATTAAAGCAGCTTCCAGTTCCTTCAATTTTTCACCACGTTCGTTCCCAGTTAGCTTGTTGTAGTTAGCATGTTTCGTCTGGTAGTGCCTCTTGATATTGAATTCCTTGAAAACAGCCACAGTCTCTTGGCAAATTAGGCAGACACAGTTGTTTCGTGTTTCAGTAAAAAAAATACTCCAATTTCTACTTGTCCTGGAAGCGGCGGCCCTCGCTGTCAACTTTCCTTTTTTTAGTTACAGTCGCCATTTTAGAAATGGGCACACAAGCCTTGTGTCACAAGAGTCACATGGCGAGAGTGCTGACTCAGGTCTACTGCCATCTTCTGGTGAAATATAACCACCAGCCTTGAAGGAGCAGGAGGCAGCAGGGGACAGCTGCAGGAACCGCTGTGTGGTGAAGGGAAAAATGCCGGCCGGCGGGGATAAGTGACAGGCTGAGCCGGCAGGGAGAAGAGGCTGCGGGCCGCTCGAAATTTGAAAACGGGCCGCAATTGGTCCCTGGGCCAGACTTTGGACATGCCTGGCCTACATCATACTACCCCTTGATATGGTCCCCCCTCCCGCTCATACATCTCATGTTCATGCTATTGAGCCTATTACCTATGAGAGGTGTGTCAGTTACTATTCATGCACCTATTAAGCATGTGCAGTTCCTTCTAAAAGTTCAACAGGGCAGCTTGGCCTTGGAGCCTCTCACTTGATGCCAACTTGTTTCATAAATCTTACGGGAGGATGAGATAGGACTGCTCCAGGCTCATTATGGCCAGTTGTAAAGTAATCAATTGCCTGCTCTCTTCCACTGAAGGTGACAGTTTTACCACTGTCCCTCCACTTTTACCCTCTCTGGTATTTTTCAGGACTTTGATGTAAAAAGCACTGCTTCCCTTAGTACAACTGTTTACATGATTCGATTCTCAGGCCTTTTGGCCTTAAGAGACTTCAATGATCCTGTCCTAATCCTGTATTTCACCTTAACACTTAGTAACAGTAACATTTCATTTCTCACAATTCACCCTTTTTCTTTTTTTAACACTTACTGTTACTAACTTAAAATTGTTCTCCAGAAATTCCTCCAGCAGAGTCTGCTCTGGGGAGGATTTTCTACCTCTTACTACCTTTAATGTCATTATCCTTTCCCCATGTTGGTTTATCCTTGGCATTGTGGTTACCTGAATAAATTACACAGGGACATCCAGGCGCTCTCCCTGTTGAATGGGCAATAGAAAGAAGCTGGGTCTCACTGTCCCCAACACACAGGCTCCAGTCCATCTCTTCGGCAATTGGGTGTACGCAAACTTTCCACAGATCCAGTATAATCCATCTGGAGCCTTCCAGTCCAAGGTGACATTCCCCACTTCTTTCCATAGTCCCTTCAACTGAGCTATTTTCTCAAAAGGGTTATTTGGTTGAGTTAAGTTCTCTCCACTCCATCAATAAGACCGAGGGGCAGAACTACTATTGTTGAACAGCTGATTACTGTACACCAAAGTCCCCGCTGTCTGGTTGAATTCAGTTCTGGACCGTGTAAAACACAAATGTCCAATAATAAAAGTCTTAAGAGTCCACTGGGTAGATCTCTCCTTATGATGATCACTAAACGTCAAAGACACATTGCTTCCTGCTTTACTGCTTAAGTTAAACTCCTTTGACTCCCAGGGCCATTGTTCTCCCATATTAGTGCCTCCATATACATAACAGTTTGTCACATTCAGAGAGGAAGCTATCCTCTCTGCCAAATATACAAATAGATTCTTGGTGATTGTTGGAATCTCTATTTTTGTGTCCAGTTCTTCATACAATGTGTGGAACAACCTATGCTCCCTTGGATGTCTGACTATAGATCTAATCCCCACATGGATCACAGTGCCAGGGTCTGATCCAGTTCCTGCAATCTGGATTCCAAACTGTCCCTTCCACTGTAGTTTCCAGTACCTGGGCTTCAGAACCGTGAAGTTAACTGGATTGCAATGGTCCTGGTCACAATTCGGTTGTGCAATCCCTTTACTCAGAAGGGCTGAGCGCCCCTCCATTGTCCACGTCCGCCAAGCTACACATTTCCATTCATTGCAGTAATTCCAGTCTGCAGTGCTACTGCACCCCACTTTGAGTCCATTTGCTGGACACATATATTGTCATTCTGGGAGTAGGTGCGGATCCAACTCGGGGAGCCACACTTCCATTTAGGCCAAGGATTTTTGCCAATAGCAGCACACACATCAAAAAGACATTCACCTGTTGGTCCAGATCATGTATCTGGGTGGAATTCAGTACTTCCCCTGTACTGGTCAGGTGCCTAACCTCCAGCCAGTATTCTCTTGGGTTTGCCTTTGGATCATAGCATATTTTCTTACCATTGTGTTCACAAATCTGATACATAGTGTTGTTGTGCATACAATTTCCCAACTGAGTCCCCACACAAGTGTAGCTAGAATGGTAAATCTGATTCCCTGTTTTCGTGATTGCTATACAGTCATTACAGTTCCTTTCAGATTTTCTCCCCATTGTGGGAAGGATGAGCCACCATAACAGTAGACTGATCCACATCCTCACCCAGAGGGGGTTCCACCGGCAAACAATCCAACCAATCTTCAATTATAATAATATCACACTCTTCTGTAAAGGGGCTCCAGGTACACCCAATTCTTAATAGTTAAACTGTAAAAAACCCAATGTATTATGTTGTTTATAATTATGATTATATTTAGTGGCCTAAATTATGATTATATTTAGTGATCTTGCATAATACCAAGCATCTTATTTACAAACAACTAATTCATAACATCATTTTTATAGTTAACAATACAGGAGGAGAGCTCCGTAAACAAGAAGGCGTATGAGGCTATAGTGAGGAAACTAGAGGTATGCTGCTTTCAGTTACTTATATCTGATAAGTTAACTCTCTCTGCTTGTATTTTATTGTTATTGTATTTTAATATAATGCTATTTGTTTTTATTGTGTTTTTATCTTGTAATTGTGAGCCACCCAGAGGTGCTTTGCCAAATTGGGTGGCATAAAAATGAATAAATAATAAAGAAATTAGTGATAGTGCATCTTTTCAGTGTTCTGTACAGTGACTAGAACAGTTGAGACTCACATAGCCTTTAAATTGATTAGTATTGCATTGAAAATGGTGTTGTATGTTGTGATTTCAATATTGGGGAAGTGATATCAGAATACTTGAGAAAGAGAGGAGAGAACAGCAATGCTTTCTTTTTCTAATACAAGTTGGATACTATGTGTGTTAAAATGATGCTCCAGAAAAATGATTAGGCAATACAATTAATTCTTCAACTGTACTTTAATTTACAGAATGAAGTGGAAGAACACACAAAGACAAAGTGTAATTTAGCCAGGACATCTGAACAGCTGGAATTTGCCCTTGGGGAGATTGATATTCTGTCAAAGCAGCTTGAGAGGGAGAAGCGAGCATTTGACAAAGCGTATGCTTCTAAGTTTGTGGTGGGGGTCACAAAGAAAAGAGCTGGCTGCTACTTGCCTGCATGAAAAGGAGGACAGACATCACATTAGTTACAATCCCCAAACACGCTGCTTTCTGTGCAGTCCCCAGGAAACCCGCAGCTCCTCTCTCCCAGCCTCTAAACTGTTGTTGTGGTTATTGTTATATACCACATTATTTGCTAAAAAGCCATCAAAATGGAGCACAGCAGATTAAAACAACTAAGATTGCAAAGCAATAAAAAAGAACATTAGAACACTAAAGAAACTACATAATTCAAAAGGCTAAATTTTAATAGGACTTGATACTCTAAAAGGTGTACAATTATTAAAATTTATGAAGAGCCATACAAGCAGCAGTAGTAAACTGTCTGAACACTGGAGAAGAGCATCTGCATTGCAGATGTTCAGATGCTGGAAGGATCCTAGCACCTCTCAGAAAAACTGACTTGCTGCTCTTCAGTATCTGCTATTCATAACAGGGAAGTGGTAAGAGTCAACAGTTTTTCAGAGAGGTTTGCAGTGGATCCTGCTTTACTCTGTGTGTTTCATTCTTAAGAAAATGTTTTTAGGATTTGCAGCCTTGAAGCAAAGTAGGGCTGGCTTTGGAATTAGCATGCATAGGATTGGGATATTAGCTTCTTACCTAGTGGAGAAAACAGTTTGCTGTTCCTTTGAAAAGATCCTTCTTAATTAACCCCAAGTCTGGCCAAAATACCAAAATGCTACAGGAATAAGCAGGGTCATCATTCACTGAAGGCATTTTTGTTTCCTGCAGTATCAGAAACAGCCATTGATGAATGCTAATCCTGAATAATAGGCAATTAATTCTCAGAAGCATATTTCTGATGGTTAAGGGATAAGGCTATCAATTGTCATTGGGCACAATGGCCACATATTATCTCCAGTATCAGAGCAGGATACCACTCTGTACCAGTTGCTGAGCAACAGAAACAGGATGGTGCTATTTCTCAGCTTCCTACTTTCCGGCTTTTCACAGGAACTGGCTGATCACTGTAAACTGGATCACTGTAAATTGGATGCTCTAAAATCTATTAGGCAATTATTTTTCTTCTTTGTGTGAACAGCTTTTCACTTTAGTGCATCTATGAACTAGGAATTCACCAATCAGTTTCACAGCTTTTGATTTAGCAAAGCACTACATAGAGCAACTAGTTACCCATACTGCAATCCTATGAAATGTTTGCTGAATTACTGCTAGTATCCATTGACTGTAAAGTGTAGTCTCTGTGCTAGAAATTCAGGAAGATAAATGAGAGAAAATTTAATGTTATTAGATTCATAGTCCCTCCTATCCCTTTGAGGTGAGACAAGATTTTTTAATTTGCACAATCTTTCAATATTATCATTAGCATAAGGAAGCAGTCAAAATGCTTGCTCAGTGTTGTTCATTCTAACTATAGCTGTGGTTAGACTTGAACTGTGGCTGTCCACATTAACATACAGCAAATATATACTACATTTCACTTGCTTTGCATGTTAAACCTGCATAGTACTGTGAAAGGGAACAGCTTAATCCTTTAAAAACATATGTGCACTTAAACCCTACTAGTTTCAGTGCACTTAACTGCATAGGATTGGGCCACTAGCTTTATTTGAATAGATAACCAACTTCACAGTACAAAGTGTTCCTCTTCAGGGTGTCTGCCATCCAGCCATGCTCCATTCTTCAGAATACTCCATTCTTGTACTCTGCATCTTCTGTCTCTGCTACTACACCTCTTGCTTCTGACTGGCTCTTTTATATCTCATGGAGCTATTTTGCATTTCACCCCGCACCCCTGCTTCTGCAAACCTTGGGGTACCCACAGGCCTGCTGACATTCTCCTCCTTTGCTGGACGGTGCCATTTTTACTATCTAACAAAATACATGCAAGGAATGAGTTTAGCATTAGGATAAGGTGTATGTGCATATTGTTATGTCACTGTAACATCATAATGGACATGTAAAGACGGTTACTGCTGCACAACTGTAGGTATGATTGATGTTGTTTTGTAGATCAGGGAGCTCCATGACTCCAAGAGTGATGCCTCCAAAAGTGCCTAAGTATCATGTTTAAACAGCTCGAATACATTTTATCTGATGGACTGCAAAGAAAGCTTAGTAAATAATATTATAGTATAACTGTGTTCACTGTCTATCAATTGAAGGGTTAAATGGAGCACGTGCACACACAGACTGGGTTACAACGCACTTCATCAGATGCTATAAGTGGAACTGAATGTTTTGAGTCTGAAAGGACAACAGACAGATTTGCAATAAGCACTTCATTCCCTTCAAGTTGCAAGCCCCGGAGTGCACTAGGGGTGCAGTATCAAGATACTTGTTAGCCTCTGAACTGAGAAGCCAACAGTAATCCAGTGGCAGAGGCAGACTTTTCCTCCCTGCTCCTCTTACTCTGCATTCTTGACTGCCTAAGCTGGGCCCTTCGAAGGAGATTAAAGGAGGCTGCACAAGGCATGGAATATGCCGTACCCTGGCCTCCACAATTCCCACCCAAGAACTCCTCCTCTGGGGATGAGTCTCCACCCCTGGAGAGACGTTGGGACAGTTCTTTCCTCCCTGACCTGAAGATTGTGTGGAGGTGGATTGAAGCAATGAATTTCCAGCCCAGAGCTCTGTCTCTGACCTCAGATTTGGGAATCCAAACTATCCTATAGACCCCTAGAAGCTGGGCAGGGGCCTTGGGATTGTTCCCAAGAAGTCTTTCTGTGCATAGAAACCATAGTCCCTACTGAACCCCTGATTAGTATGCCAAATTTGTCATTTCTTGTTTTGCAATCTCGAATCCCAAAAGAGCTGCTGATTTCAATTTCATTAGAACTGCCACCCTGAGATCCTTGATGGAATGATCAGAGAGCCTGAAGCATTCACCTACAGGCTTATTGATGTCCTTATTCTTGATGGCTGATTTGTGCTCATTTAATCTTTGTCTCAAAGATAGTCCTGCTTGATCAGCATAAGTGGTGGCAAGTGGCCTTGGGACTTGAAATTCTTATCCCAGTCATAGAAGCATTAGCAAATTGAATGTGCAAACAAGATTGTAAACTGCTTTTACAATTTGTCATTGTTACTTCTGTTGTAGACTTTCTTGTGTAAATAGCAAAGTGCTAAAGCAATCAATCCAAAAAGACAAACTGATAAGCAAATGCACTGGTAAGTTCACTAGATTATTTTATTGTCTTAAAAGGAAGGTCACAGGACAGTACCATTTGAAGGCATGTACCTATCAGGGTTGTGTTGAATGGTGGCAAATAACATGTTTGCAAATGCCTATCACAGAGTTGTGATTCAGAGCAGGTGAGTGGTGGCAAACACTGGGGTTTTCCTCTATGTACTGTGTGAATTAGTGCGCTTGTGCTTGCTTGCTCTCCACTTTCTCTGTGGTGTGCATATACTTATAATCCTGGATCCCCCTTTAGTCATCCTTTAAATTCCTGTCATAGAGAGTCTTCTAGTCTCCTGATGAGTTTATATATAATCACTAACTTCCTTAATTTTATTAATCCACTGCTGTATATAATATCACTAGGTGTCTTCTAGTAGCTTATTATAACTGCTGTATGCAATCTCTTATGCCAGTCTTGATTGTGGTTATTATACTTGAATGATAAAGAAGCATAGCATTAGGCATTGACTATAATATAATAGGAAGAAATTCTGGGCAATATTCAGCAAATGTGTCTCAGAACAAGAGTATTCTGCTTGAAAGTTTAAAAACAACTATATCCGTTGACATGACAATCTTGTCACAGACTTTGGAATTTTAGAGTATAAAATACATATGGCACCATATATTTGGTGTTATTGTTCAGTCAGGTAAATGCAGAAAATAGTTTTATGGGAACTCTATATATTCTGAGCTTTTAAGACCGAGAGATAAGTAAATTGATAACTCCCAAATACCTCTTATAGAAATTGAGACCCATATTCAGAAACAGGAAGACATTCTTAACTACAAAGAGAATGAGATCAAGGAGCTGCAACACTTCATCAACAAGCAGAAGCAAACCTTAAAGTAAGTATTTTGGTTTGGAACCTCTTTTTCCCCACTTGTATCCATCATTGACTTTAAAGAGATTCAGTCACATCTTGAATTTAAAGCAGCAGTAGTAGATTCACTGAGAATTCACAAATTGCACACTTTGGCAAAGGAGAATGCACTTGCTGCTGTCTCTTCTCAACCTGATTTCCTGTGGTTTATCTTGATGTCCAAACCAGTTCAGCTGGAGCAGGAAACTTTCCTTACACAAGATTTTTCACTTCTGTAGGAATGGTAATAGTTATCTTTATCAATTCTGTGTCTGTTCAGGGGTATTCACACATATGGGTGTTCTTCCCTTTAGTTTTCTGATGTAGATGTGCCAGAACTCAAGGATTACACTGTTTTGATGCCTATTTTTTCACAGAATATTATGTAGTGAATGTTCTTGCAATCTGCTGTTACAGTTTCTCTCTGTGCATCTTTCACTTTTTTGTAGAAAAGAAACATCTGAGTTTAAGATACAGAAAGAACAAGAAAGTTATATAACAAAAGTGCTTGGAAAAAAGAAGACTGATTTGAAGTAACCATTGAAATATTCCCTTAAGTCACTTGATCCTACACTTATGCCAGTGCTATAGAAGATGAGGATGAAATTTTCAGTTTTCCATCAAGAAAGAATTCTGTCTGTAAAAGAAGATTATCACGGAGAAATTAACCTCTAAATTTCAGTTTTAGTGCTTCATGCTGACCAGTGGAAACAGTTTTGGACTTAGATATTTCTGTACCCATCTAGGTCAACAAAGACTGCAGAAATAGTCCTGCAGTGTTTGGGCTAAAACACCCCTTTTTCAAGTTCATGTGTCATGGATATAAAAAGCAGACTTACCTGTGTACAATATGAAGTCAAACAAGTTCAGTTGTGTGGAAAGGGACTTATTGTCAGGTAAGTGAGTATAAATTACATCCTGTTTGAAAGGTATTGTCTAAACTATATCTTTAAAGACAGGCTGTCATTCTTCCTCTTCATCAGTCTTTAGAAAATAAAAGAAATTGTCTCAAACTGCTATACCAAAGAAGCTTCAGCCATTAAACAGAATAAATATTCTGAGAAATATGCCAATACATATTATGAAGCTAGTTGCCTGTGGATCCATTGACCTCTGTCCTATGGTCATATTTATGATAGCTAAGGCTGCCTTCATGGCATGTCTTCTGAAAACCACAGAAAGAGGAGAGCCCAGTGATCCAAAGCTGCTGAAATATGTTCTGCTTGCACAGTGAAATCTGGTAGGTCTCAGGTACTCCATTTCTGTGTTTGGATGAGTAACTGCAGAAGATACCAACACATAATCGACACAACACTGTTGAATTATATTATTTTAATAAATTCATAGTCCTCTAACATGTGCTAATAGATGCTTTAAGATAAATTTACAGAGATTTGTAAGTTCAGGATATCCATATCAATGTATTGCTTTTTTATGTAGTGCTGTTCATTGTATGCAGGGGTCACTCACACCTTTTAAGCTGAATTATTGACTTCCAGGTTATGAATGTTTATGAAGATAGTTTTTAAGGAAAACCTTTTACAATGAGGTTTTGTTATTGGCCCATTTGCAAAAACAGAACTAGAATGGTTGTCTTAAAGGAAATATTTCCTAGAGTTTGAGTCACATAATATACTGGGTTATTAGCATCTTATCAAACAGTTGTAAGCAGGGAGCAGTTGCAAAACATGCATTGGTTTGGTTTAAGCTGGATTGCAGCCCTTTTTTTAACCTTCAGATTAAATGTTTTTTTTAATTCTCTGGAAGGATGTAATGGATGGCCGGGGGTTGCATACAGCAGCAAAACTACCCTTCCCTAATGCATTATGTGTAGATGGGATATGTAATTGAACTGAGTGAAGCATTGAGAGGACAGTGCAAAGGATGCCATGTGAATAGGGCTTGATTTATCCATACAAAAGATGGCCTTAGGAGCTCACTGGGCTGTGTGTGGGGCAAAACTAGCCACACAGAAAGTTCGGAAGAATTGGCTTATTGTTAACTATGAGAGAGCAGTTTTTACATCCATGGACAGTAAGCCTGTTGGTGGCCTTGAAGACTAGTCAGAGCCAGCCTAGCTATGCTAATTCTCCAACATAACGCATATAGATTATTACCACCAGTCATTTTCTGTGTTCTTGGTGATTGCCCTGCCTACAGCTTCTGGATAGACTCCCAGTTTTCAAGACCCTTTTCTTATGAAGATAACTATATTTTGTTTTGGGTTGCCTAGTCATTCTTGACCCAGTCTAGTCACAGTTATGGCCACATACTTGTAAGGAAATAGAATGTCAGAGATGCTCCAGAATGTTTGTAAATTCTAGGCAGGAATGAGCCATGCCTGCTTGCATTCAGGCTGTCTGCTGGCTCAACTCCCAGTGAATGCCTGTCATCTGGAATTTACTCCCTGTGGACAAATGGTGACTTGGCCCTCCCAGATCTCAGGAGTCTTACACTGCTGGCCCATATTAATCACAAATATGTTTGGGCATTTCAAACTTCTTGGGATAGGTCTTAGCCACTTACCTAAGACAATATCAAGTGTAAGCACTCTCAAATAGTACACATTTGGTTGTTTGTGGGTTTATTTTACTTAAAGGGTTAACTGCTATGCCATTTATTTCTAGTTGTTTTTTAATTCTCAAGATATTATATTTAGCTCCATTCGTGAACCGAGCTGACCCACGGTATCCAGTAGCTTATAGTCCTGGCATGTCTCCAGTGGATTAGCACCTGCTGCTGTTACTTTTCTGATCTTTTGTGTAAAAAAGTTATTTTTTAAAAGTCTCCAGCAAGAACAGACAATTGCATTTCATTCTGTAAGCTGTAAATTGAGATACATCTGTAATATGTTTGTTTTATCTCCCAAGTGTGGAATGATTTGCTTTGAACAGAAAAAGAGAGAAAGTAACTTGATTTATTTAATACTTTTCATTTTGTAGAGGTTCCTTCTGAAAGGTTATTTTATTTTAAACTCTAAAAGCACCTTGTAGCTAGAATTAAAACAGTTCTTTTGGAACAGATTGGATCCCTCCATGTGAACGAGCTAGCTAAACTAGTGTCAGATATACTTCAGCTATCTTGGCTAAGTTTCAGTATTGAGATGATGTTGGGGGAGTTGGATCAATGAAACCATCTGACATTTAGACACTGAAATATTCACAAGAACTCACGTTGCACTAGTACTCCAAGTATTTCCAGAGGTAATTTTAACCCTCTTAATTTAGGCACTATTTGTCAATAGGGTCTTTGATACTGGTACTGTTTTCAATAAACTTGGACACTGAGGAGTAAGTGCAATTGGCACTGTAATACATAGGTTCTCTATACATGTAACATGAGCTAATTATACCAGCTTTAAGCCAGTAGGAAAGGAGAAATTAAAACCATGAAAGAAATGCACATTACATAGACTATGATTGGTTTAGCTTATTGAGTTCCCAGGACATAAGCAAAATAAGTTTTTAAAACATCTAGATTTCCCAGAAGTTTATTCATATCATGTTATAGAAATTAGTCACAAGCAGCACATTGAAAAACTACAGGCAAGAAACACATCAGAAGCATCAATCTTATTGTATGGACTGATCCCAATGAAGCATTTGCACAGTAAAGTACTATATGCATTCATGTGTGGCTTTTACTGATGCTGAGGTAAAAAGAAAGGTATATTTATTAGTGGTTGTAATTTAACATTTGGATCAAAGAAATCCTGCCAGTGGGCCTGGAGTGTAGGCTAGTGTACCAACTATGTTTATTCTTGGAGTTGTTAGAGCTGGCAGTGGCGAAACATGTCTTAATTACATCCTGTCTGGACTACTGTAATGCATTCTGTGGGGAGCTGCCGCTGAAACGTGTTTGGGAACTTCAGCTGGGCCAGAATACTGTATCCTGATAATTGACCAGGGCAGCTTAAAGCAACGCGCTACCTTTGCTGTAGCAACTTCACTGGCTACCTCACTATTTCTGAGCACAATTCAGAGTGCTACTTATGACCTGGAAAACTCTATATGACTAGGGACCGAGCTGTTTGAAAAAATGTATTCTCCCATATGAGTCATCCTGGATTTTTTGCTCCCTGAGAGAGGCCCTTCTTTATTCCACCACCATTGGAAGTATGTTTCGCTGAATATGTATGTTTCACAAAGGCCTTCTCAGTGGCTCCCAGGCTTCAGAACTCCCTGGAAGGGTCCATCAATGGACCTTCCACCAACATGCAAATCACAAATTCATTTTTATGAATGAATGACTCAAGAGAGGCCACTGTCTTTTAAAGCTGACTTGTTTACTGAAATGGGTTTTTATTTGGTGGAAGCTGTTTGTTTATTTTTTTACTGATAGCTTTTTACATTTTAACTGTACAGTTGAGCTTTAGCTGTACTTTCTTATTGTTAGCCACCTTAAGCTCTAGCTTTAAGGGAAAGTGGATCTAATGACTGTGTTCACCCACAAGTCAGAGATTGCTTGTTGTTATCTGTGAATTCATAAGGATGCAGAAGTGGTTACCATGAGTCCCCATGGAGAACCAGAGGTCTGCTCTAAGGTTTCCATGCTTCACCATTGCTTGTCACTATTTGTGAATTCAGTTACAATGCTTTTTCATGGTTTCCCTGTTTCTGTCTGCAAGTCTGGTGGCAAGAGTGGCCGTAAGGTGTGGGTAGTACAACACTAAATACTCTGCTGCAAGTGCTCCTCAAACCTCTAAGCCATGCAGTGGACTTAGGAGTGCTTGCTCTGATGAATGCAGAGATCAGGCAGGGACCTCATGAGTGAGGCTATCCCTGCAATAACCTTGTCCCATGTTAGAGATGTACTGTATATGTTGAGAACACCTTAAGATCCACATCTGTTTTTCACTAAGGCCGAATGTTTTAGCTGCTGGTAATTTGACTGTACCCATGCCTAGTGTGCACCAAGCAATTTAACAGCAGGATAGAGCAGGATGAAAAGGAGAATTGGAGTGGGGCAAAAGGTGGAGTTTGGTTTCAGTACTGCAGCAATATCCCTCCTGTCCTTGTGAGATATACAAAGATTACTCCCTGGGGACAGGCTCTCCAGCTCAGATATCTACCAGCTGATACAGGGGCAGCCAGCTTGATGACCATGTAGACCAAAAAACAAAAAAGCTGTGCTCATCAATGTAGACCACAAAAGCAGCAATATGCAGTCAAAGCAATTAGCCTCAGAAACAGACATGCCAATATCTGCAGGTATATCTGCAGTGGCCTGTACATAACTTAAAGGTGTTATTTGGTCAAAATACTCTGTGATTTCAATACTCCTTGTTTCCAAATACATGTATTTAGGATTGCAACCTCCACTTAAAAAAAAAAAAAGATGAACTCCAAAAATATACATCCACAGAGCTGTAGAATTGCGTATGAGAACAAAGTCCAGCATAATTTTGAAATGGCCAGCTGAACACCTTATGCCACTGAGAACATCTGTTAGCTCCTACCTGTGTCTAGACATTGCACTTTCTCCTGCCTATGGATCTGTTGCAGCACAAAGTGGCACAAAGCAGCTTGCTCTGCGAAGAGCTTTTTCAAATGACAGGAGTGTTTCACAACCCTTTGAAAAGAAACTGGAGTTTGGACAGCTAGTTGTCAAACATCAGTGCTCTTGTAAAAGGGGATGACTTGCACTCTTCCACTTTCATGAACATCCAGACTCTCGGGAATGGGTGGAAAAGACTGAGGAACCTGATGAGTTCCAAAACTTGAGAGGATCTTACCATGAAGAGGTGATCTACTAGACACATCTTTTGCCAGCAAAAATTACTCATGGCTTGGTTTTTGACAGCTGTCAGAGAAAGTAAAAAAGTTCTATGCAGCCTTGCTGAGTCACCATCCATCCATGAAGAGTGGCAATGACATTTTGACAGCAGATATCTCCAAGCATCTGTCAGGCTCACTGTATATAGTTTGGGGAATACCCAGCCCACTGCAGCTTAATGCCAAAATGGGTTATTATGCAAATCTGCCCAATGGGTCAGTTACAAAGATATCCCTGTGTTGGTAAAAAGTATTTTCTGCTCACACAGTTTCCAAATTAAGAGAAAATAATTACATGAGGAAGATGACCCCAGATCTCAAAGATGTCCTCCTTTTGCTCACACTCGTGTGTAAGACTTTGCATAAGCTCCTTCTCAAGATCCTTTTATGACCTACTATAGTTAAACATCCCTCCCTGTGATTATCTCGTTCACTGTTCCTGATATCACTGCACCACTGCACAGAAAGGGAAGATCTTGCACAAAAAGCTAAAGGAAGATCACCTGTGCATTTTTTTCTCTCCACTCAGTTCTTTCAATGCAAGCCAGTTTGATCAGTTACAGTATTTTGTTCTGAACTAACAGAAGTTAAAAATCTGGTATGTTGCAGAAAGGGAAATACTAGTTTTTATCCAGGATTTAGACCAGCTGAGATTAACAATATTAATCACAACTGGCAAAAGAGTGAAGGGGTTACGAAACAAAATTAATGAAATATATGACATATCCAGGAGTACGTGTTTTTGATATTGTGATATTTCTTGAAGTAGGTAAATTCCATGCACGCACGCACACCCTAGAAGATTGAATGGTTGATCACTCTTTGTCTACATATGATACATGTTTGTTGTCATTGAATAGAGAAAAATCATGTTGTGAAAACACAAAAAATAATTATTACATTAATCATTGGCTACACAGAGGGATCCAATCCCAATGTTGTTCTCATGGATAAATTTCATATTGTATAGCTGGCACTCTAACCGCTAATTGTAGGCATGATGATTTGCATAGAGATTCTAGGTCTGGGGCCTTTTTTTGGTCTAAACAGTCATAGGCTCACACCCTTATTTGATCTAATTTTATTTACTGACAAAGGTGCACCCCAAAGCACTTTTTCCAAATCATGTTGCATTTTGAAATTAATGAATCTATGAATTTCTGATTGAGTTGCTCCGGAGAGAAACAAAACAAATATAGCACTGATATTTTGTTTTCTGTTTACTGAGGCATGTGTTTTTATAGCACACTGTATGTGAGTTTCTATTTTCCTCAGCATGGCTCTAGCAGGCACATGACACAACCAGGGGTTTTGCTTTTTATCATGACTGGATTAAACAGGGAGAGAATGGAACATGAGCTTCATCCAGAAGGTCAAGTTCTCGAGTTGGAGTGGGAACAGTCTCAGCTGCGCCAAGGATAAATAGGATCCAATCCCCCATTGTTCCAGCTTAGACTCCCATCGTCTACTCAAGATAAAATGTTTGCCACCATCACAAGAAATAGCCAGCTTTCATCTGGGCCTGGCAGATTGAATGGGGAAGAAAAATTCAGCAACTGCAACTGCAGGTTCCACTCTTCTCCTGAGAAAGACTGCCACATTTCTAACAATCCCAAAGGAGATCGCACCTCTGACACCTCCAGTTCTTACTGTACAGCACCGGGCTCAGAGGAAATGGAGAGTTTTAAGGACTGTGTTGAGTACTTTGAAGAAGCTGGAGATTGTAACAAGCAGTGCACTTACTGTGGCACAGAATACGAGCAAGGAAGCGTAACAACATCGATCCCCTCTGCAAGTCAGCTAAGCCCTGGACATGGAAGCAAGCTTTCCACCATTGCAGCCAGCCAGCTCTGTGGGACTTTGAACAGTAGCGGAAATATGTTACAAGAAAGCCCATGCAGCATGAGCAGCAAAGAGAAAGGTCATACTTATGCTGTTACATCTGGAGGAGTTCGAGCTTGTCTTCCTCCAACCAGGAGTGAGACTTTGGGAGTCTCGTTGTCAGTCCAAGAAGTAAGAACACAGAGCCTGCAGGCAGACCACCGCAGCACTATAAAAGATCAAACCTGCAGAGACAAACTGTGTTCCAGCAGTAAGCAAAACCAACAGGTTCAGATGTCAATCAAAGCCGAGAATAGCACAGACCCAGCGTGCGGTGGGAGAATGGGTCTAGTCACACGAAGGCTGCAGCCAGGAGACAGCAGATCTAAATACTTGGATCATCCTACCCAATTCAGTTCTGATAAATCCAAGGAAATGTTACCCAATGCTCGCAAACTAAAGAAAAACAGCCTTGGCAGTCGAGTTCATGGTCCTGTAAGTAGCAAACCAGCATGCCCCAAATATTTTGCTGAAAAGTCAAGCATTTTGAGTGACTCAGATGAGGCTGATAATGAAGTAGAGAAGCTCACTGCTCTGTCTTTCCAGAGCCTCTCCTGCCCCCAAGGCAGTTACCTAGATATGTATAGTTCCAGTAACAGGACATCATCCAGCTTGTCCAATTCCTTGCCAGAAGATTGTAATGGAATGAACAGGTGGCCAGCATGCAGTGACCAGAGGAAAGCAGTGGCAGTTGGGCACACTAAAGGAAGCCGACAGTTCCCACCAGCCAGCAAAGCTCCAGAAGCAGAACCACTCAGTGGTGTGTTGGGGAAAGAACACTTTGAGTGCGTTGATGTCACACTGGAAAATGCCGACGGCAAAAAGAGCCTCTCTAAGAAAAGGATGGTGCCAAAGCGCCAGATCCAGTTGAGACGGAAAGAGAAGAAGGAGAATGGCTTTTGTGCTGCCAATGACTGTGCCGCCCTCCAGCCATTCACACAGCCAAGGAAAGAGTCATGTGTGAAGGGGCGGAAGATCACTGATGAGTTTAGGATAAATTATAAGCAATTTCTGAAAGCAGCTTCTTTAAACAGTGCTTACAACAGAAATAGGATTGCTTCAAGTTTGGTGAAAAATGTTTTGGCTAAAAAAATGCAATATGAACAAAAGATTAAAATGGAACAAGCATCCATCAGGGGCAGCTCTACATCTTCTGTCCCTTCCTCTATAAGTACTGACCTTCAGGGGGACAGTTTAGAAGGCAAGTCAAGTTCTCTGTCCAAGTCAGACTGCAGTTTTTCCACAGAAGATGTGCAGAGCCATTCTACCACCAGTGAAAGATCTGAATCCATTGCAGTGAGTAAAGAGAGCATGGATTCCTTAAGGCCAACAAAGGGAGTTGTGCTTAATGCACAGCTACGGGAGAATGTCTGCAAACTGAAAAATACATTTAATGAACTGAATGAGAGGATGAAGTATCAAGAAGTTACTCAGCTGAAGCGACTCCCCATCTTGGCAGAGGGTGGAATTAGTACAAGAGAGGCAACCAACAACAGAAAGGCTACGGGGGAAAGAAAAGAATACAGGAGAGCCCGAGCTGTGTTTGAGTCCATGCAGGCTGATACAAAAACCTTGGCTTCAGTTCCAAAATTTGCCAAGCCACAAAAGCCATGGCCAAACCTGAAGCAGCGAGCAATTTGGCCAAACAAGCATACACCATCAAAAGAAGAAATATTTTCACTTAAATCTAAAAGCCTTGCAGTGCCTAAAGATACTTCCAGGAACATCTTTACATCCAAAACCAAAGAAGTGAAGCTTATCCCTCAGATGAAGGATGAGCATAATGTTGCAAATGCCCTTGGAAGCATTCCTTTGGGTAGAGTTGCCAATGACAGGATGCTGCCTATATTCCAGACCATGAAGCTTTCGTCTGTCAGTTTTCCAGCTTCTAGCAAATCACACAGTGGCGAAAAATCTAATTTGCCCCAAACATCTCATGCAGAGGAGGCTACTCAAAGGAGAAGCACAGGGAAGATAGGAATGCATCAACGGAGAGATGTAAAGAAATTAGTGAAGGACAACTATAACCTTGTCTTTAGATCATCTGACAGCTCCAGTGCAGACCAGGGTTCCTATTCAGAAAGCAAAAACAAGAACAACTTGATTGCATTCCCAAAGGAATGCATGGCCATCTCGCCCCTATTTATACGCTGCACCTCAATATGTCGGAGAGATGATGCACCAGCAGTAAACAGTGCAGAAGAGAAAAAGGAAGACCAAATTGGGGGCATAGATGTGTCAACACTTTCGCTGCATGATGACTGCACAAGCAGCAGGGAATCCCCAGGCCATTCTCATCCTACAGTGCAGACATACGGAAGTGTACCTATGCGCAATCCAGAAAGCAAATGCTCTTCAGTTGGTGAATCTGCAGTGCACATCACTTCAATTCAGTCCAAGAAGTGTGTTGCAGAGAATAAAAAATGTCAGCCACAAATTAAAAATAAACCAATGGTTTGTGAGCGGAGTGAATTAAATGTCCGACCTTCTTCTGCAGCTACCAAGAAAGAGTCACAGCTTAATATTAAAGTCAACAGCTCTGTCTCCAAGCAGTCCCACAAAACAGAAACGGACTATTTCCCAGCTCTGAGTTGTTCCACATTGGATGAGAGGAACATGAAGGAAGCATTGCCACCATCTCACCATAGCTTGTTACGAGAAAACCAAGCCACTGCTTCATCAGAGTCTCCTGGGATTCCATCTGCTACATATCTTCAGGAAGTCACGAGGAGAGATCATGGTTGTGTGACCACAAGCCACATTCAGGAGTCCTACAAAGCCCAGGAAGCTACATTGGCCCATCAGAAGCACTTATCCAGTGAGACCTTCTCAGTGGCTCCCAGAGACAGTAAAGGTTATTCTAGCCTTTTGGGAGAAGAATATATGTTGCCTGGATCAGGATCATCCTGTGAGAGCTGTAGGCACTCACAAACCATCAACCTTCCAATGGGAAGCAGCCAAAACATCCAGACACAGACTGTAGCAAATAATCATTTTGTTGACAGTACATCTGAAACTAAACCACCGTTGGAGAACCACAACAGAATCCATTCAGAATGTGTAATTTCAGACACTCCAGTAACTACCAGAGAGTATAGTGAAGGAATCAAGCTAATATCCAGCTCATCTTTTACGCCATCAACCTCCTACGGAAAGCTCCATGACCTGGAATGTGATTCTTTTAATAAACATCAGGCAAGCAATGAACAATATTTTTCAGCCACCCAGACCGACAATACCAATTACTTAACAATTCCTGTGGAAACCCATCCACCCGAAGCAGCTATGACGCACCCAGTGCCTACGTACATGGATAATACCTCTTTTACTTCCAATGTCTCTTTCCAGCCCAGTGCAGAAGCATTAGGAAATAAAAGAAGCAATGAGCACCACCCACCAAAACAAATGGAGAAGAAGGCATCCTCTGATAATTCGTTATACAATAACCCAAGCCATGGGCAGCTCCCACTAAGATTTGAAGAGTCCCCCAGTTTCACAAGAAGAAATGAAAGAATTTCACCAGCTGGTAAGACTGCTCCAAGCCCAACGAGACACTTTGCAGCCCCCCTGCAGGCACACAGGAAAATGTTAGTTGATCCAGAGAGTGGAAAATGCTACTATGTGGAATCACCAAGGCAACCTCAGTTGAAAATGCTGTATGATCCAGAGACAGGGCAATATATTGAAGTGTTGATACCACCCACCCCACTGACAGCACACAGTGGGCTTTACCAGTCTCCTTTCTCTTCAGTGGTAATGAATCCAGGGGGTTATGGGCCACCATACCCGTCCTATTCTGGTGTACCAGGTTTCCCCCCTCCTCCTCCAGCTACAGCTCCTGTCCATTTGGCTCTTCAAGACCAACAACCCATTCAGGAAAACACAAATTTCAATGAGAATGTCAACCATTTTTCAAAGAATGATGTTCCTCCAGCTACCCAAACTACTGATGGCAACTACATGGAAAGTTTATACTATATTCCCACCGGGATGAATTCAAGTCCTAATCCTTATCAAGGTGTGTACTCCCCATCTGCAAGTTCTGGTCTTTCTGTGCCTGAGAAGGGATCCTTCCTTAGAATGTGATGTATGATGTAACCAGGACATCAGGGTGGGGAGCGTGGACTGCCTGTGTATTTCGGATCATTCTTCTTCTTTTTCCTAAAGGCCAAAACAAACCTTATCTCTGGGAATCTGGGGAAAAGGAATGACAAGAAGGGGGAAATTTGGTTGCCTTTTGTTGCTTATTCTTCTGCCTGGGCTGTGAAGGACTCAAGAGGCAATAAGATACCAAGAGTTTACAGCACATGCATTACTTGCATGACAAATCTGATTTTAATCTAAACATCCCTAATGATAACCAGCCACTTCTGGTGCTAGCTGAAGCCAATGGGAGATTTGGTGTTGATATCAAAGGGACCAGGAACCAAGCTATAAGAGTGTGATTTGTAACAGCTAGTTTGTTTCTTGAGGCTTAGCATAATATTCTAATGCTAAGCCTGTCCCTGAGAAGTCCAATTCTTTGCAATTCTTGGCTCTTCTGTAGAAATTAAATGATCACCCCAACATCTCTGAGATTTGATATGTTTGTATGTTGTGCCAGGATAGCAGCACTTACAGGTACCTTGTTCACCTTTGCCATCAGAGCCCTGTTTAGTAGGGCTCTCTCAGAGCAAATCCTTTGAGAACTGAACACAGCCTGAGAGTGGGAGGTGTGCCTGCTCCCATGACCTTCGTGCTGACAGGACAGATCTCCTAAATTCATGCTTGGCTTGGTAAGTAGAAAACAGAGGTTATACAGATGCCAGCAGTAATTCTTAGAGAGCAAATGAAGCCCTGCTATTTGATAGATGAGATTTGTGAGTAGAAGAGTGTTTCAGAGTCAGAAGCTGTAGACAAGAGAAATTTGACAAACTTGTGCAAACAAAGAATCCGTGTTTCGCCACCAAAGGGTCTGTGCGGTGCCAGGATAGGAGATGTGTTGAGAACAGGGCAGCCAGATACAAAAGAGAGAACTCCTGAACTGTTAATTGTTGTGTAGAAAATGGAATTTCAGCAGCAGTGGCTTGCATGGCATGGGCTAAAATTAACTTCTTCTGCATAGTTATTAAAAGTGCAGGTGAATTTTCTTCTTTTCTGTCTTACTGTGCTAAGCCAGGAACCTCATATACATGCCCTGAGATCCAACACAGATGAAAGATGGGATATCATTTTTATAACTTCTGTTCTTAAAAAGTACTAGCCTCTGCCCATATAACTCAAAGTCAAAACTCTGTTGAGTAAGTTGCTGATGTTTATTCAGTAACTGTAGTATTATATTGCAACTCAGAATAACTGATTGTCATTAGCTTTTAAAAAGATAGGGCAACAGCTTTTAGAAGAAAACAATTTTAGGAAAAAGTGGAATTAGTACTGCCATCATTCTTTTATGCCATACAAGAGATGGCTGTGAAGGGCATGCATGCTGTCTTACTATGTGACTTAAAGATTCAGGCCAGCCTTTTGGTCTGTCTCTGGGATGCTGCTTGCCAGAACAACCGGGAAGAGTGAAGTGAGAAATCTTCCTTTCAGTCTCCCACAGCAGCCATAGCAATATTTGTGGGACTGAAATTCCGCTACAGGCTGAAGAGAATACAAACGAAGCCTGGTGCTGCTGCCCATTTTGCTGCTCTCTCCTGCCCAGGGGAGGGAGGGAGCCAGGCTGCAACAGTTAAGATCCAACCAGGAGCAGGATTTGCCTTGGTTTTCTGATTTTATTTATTTATTTAGAATATTTATATGCCATCCTATTGCGAAAGCCTCAGGACGGCTTACATAGATGAAATAACATAAAATATAATATGAATAAATTACCAACCCACACTGGCTGCAGTTAAAAACATATAAGAGACAATATTAAAACTTATTAAAATATTGCTGAAATAAAAAGGTCTTAACCTGGTGCCGAAAAATAAATAACGACGGTGCCAGGCGGACCTCTCTGGGGAGCGCATTCCATAGGCGGGGTGCCACCGCAGAGAAAGCCCTCCTCCGGGTATTCACCCTCCTAATATCTTTCACGGAGGGTACCCAGAGGAGGGCCTCTGCTGCCGATCTCGAGGGGCGGGAGGGCAAATATGGAAGAAGGCGTTCCTTTAGGTATCCAGGTCCCAAGCCGCTAAGGGCTTTATAGGTAATAACCAGCACCTTGAATTGAGCCCGGACTTTGATGGGAAGCCAGTGAAGTTGACAGAGGACTGGGGTTATATGAGAATAACGCCAGTCCCTGTCAGCAACCTGGCTGCTCTATTTTGCACCATCTGAAGTATCCGGACTGTTTTCAAGGGCAGCCCCATGTAGAGTGCATTACAGAAATCCAACTGGGAAGTAACCAATGCATGTGTCACTGTCGCTAGGCAATCTTCCTCCACGTAGGGATACAGCTGGGAGTGCAACCCCATCCAGGGCAAGGTCCAAGTCACCTACCCAGGAGCTTGATCCATCCACCAACAGGACCTCCATCTTGTGTGGATTAAGTTTCAGTTTATTGGCCTTCATCCAGCCCATTACCTCGGCCAGGCACCGGTTCAGTACAGCCACTGCCTCACCTGGATCGGTTGAAAAAGAGAGGTAGAGCTGGGTGTCATCAGTATACTGATGATTCCGCAGCACAAACCTCCTGATGATCTCTCCCAGCAGTTTCATGTAGATATTAAATAGCAAGGGGGACAAAATGGAGCCCTGTGGTACTCCATGGCATAACTGCCATGGCACAGAGCCTAAGTCCCCCAGCACCACCTTCTGGAATCGGCCATCGAGGTAGGAGCAGAACCACTGCCAAGCAGTGCCTCCTACTCCCAGTCCCGCCAGCCTATCCAGAAGGATACCATGGTCGATGGTATCGAAAGCCGCTGAGAGGTCCAGGAGAACCAACAGGGACGCACTCCCCCTGTCCTTTGTACAGGGCAACCAAGGCAGATTCAGTACCGTACCCGGGTCTGAAGCTGGACTGAAATGGGTCCAGATAATCAGTTTCATTCAAGAGTGCTTGGAGTTGTCCCACCACCACCCGTTCCAACACCTTGCCCAAAAACGGGATGTTGGCCACCGGTCTATAATTGGCAGCCATCTCTGGATCCAGGAACACCTTCTTTAGGAAAGGCCTGATTACTGTCTCCTTTAAAGGAGTGGGCACCCAGCCGTCCCTCAGAGAGGTGTTAATGACCTCCAGGATCCAGGCACCAATCCTGTGTTTGGCTTTGGTCAGCAACCACGACGGGCAAGGGTCAGGTAAGCAGGTGGTGGGATGTACTTGTCCAAGCACCTTGTCCACATCATCAGGCCGCGATAACTGAAATTCACCCATTAATACCTGACCAGACGGAGTCATTGGCATCTTCCCTAAAGGATCTGAATCACTTGTGGAGTCCAGCTCGTGATGAATCTGAGGGATTTTCTCCTTAAAGTGCTGGGCAAAGTCGTCACAGTGAGCCATCGAAGGTGGTACAGGATCTTTCTTAGGGCCAGGATGTATCAGCCCATGTACCACTCGAAAGAGCTCCGCTGGACGGCACTGTGAGGAGGCAATGGAAATGGAGAAGAATTCCTTCTTTGCTGTCCTCGATACTGAGCTTGTAGGTGTGTTCGGTCAGATTCATCCTGTGACTTCCTCCACCTATGCTCTAGATGTCTCCCAACCCACTTCATCACCCGTAATTCAGATGTGTACCATGGGGATGGACGGGGTCTGCTGGGCAGGAGAGGACTATTAGGAGGGATCGTGTCAATAGCTCTGGCCATTTCCCCATTTCACAGTTCAACCAGAGCATCAACAAAAGTGCCAACTTTATCAACCGGAAAATCCCCGAGAGCCTTCAGGAATCCATCTGGATCCATCCAGCTCCGAAGGCAGACCAACACAATAGGGTCTGCACCCTTACAGAGGGAAAGGCTGGCATCGAGCTCAAACCTCATGAGGAAGTGATCTGACCATGACAAGGGAGTCATGATTATGATTATGGGATAGTTGTGGCCAGCTAATTTGTGAAATTAATCTGTCTTCCCTCCATGTTGCCTCTGGCTCTAGAGTTTCTAGATGCTAGTCTTGCAAGCATCTTTTTGTTCATGTGAATAACACAGAAGCAATACCTTCACCAAGTGCTTCTTTTATCTTAACATTACAAAGGTGGCAGAAATGGCTGCAAGAAAAGTTTTCTATGCTATGTTTCTCTTAAAAGGGTCAGGCATCCATGGTCCTCTAGCTGCCAAAGCTTGCTCATCTATACAGCTGCCACATTATGTATGTATGTATGTATGTATGTATCATATTCATAACCCACCTTTTTCCTGCAAGGAACCCAAAACAGCTTACAAAATCCCATTTTTCCTCTCGATTTTATCCTCACAACAACCCCATGAAGTAGGTTAGGCAGAGAGTCAGTGACTGGCCCAAAGTCACCCAGTGACTTGAATCTCCAGAGTCCCAATCTGACACTAACTGTGATACCACACTGGCTCTTGCCATGTTATATTCCAGCCCTGTTCTTTTTCCCTTTGCCTGGAGTGGACACAAATGAATCCATGCATTTTTACATTAAGGGACAGAAGCAAAGCCAGAAAAAAGTGGCAACCCCAAGGCATAAGTTTATGACTTCATATGCTGCTGGAATGTAGCAGCTGCAGCCCTTACCAACATAGTGATGGCAATGATGGGGGGGAGGGGTGGCACCTGTTTCATTTCTGCCAGTCATGATGGAGCTTTTAAAGGCACAAGACTCCTGCCAAAGCCAAAAAGGTGTCAGCTGTAACCCTTATGAACTTTGTGCCTGGTCCCATTTCTTTTCCTTTTTTCCTTTTGGTACTTGGCCCTTTAAGACCTTCTCTTCCTGATGCTTTCCTAGTAATGGTAAATTGCGCAGAACTAGGTAAGCATCTAGGTAAGTAGGTGGCCCCTGTTCCTTTAGAAAGGAAAATTTCAGCAGGGGGTACCTCCCACCAGCCCCCCATAGGGCTGCAATGGTGCAAAAGGCTAGCTGTGGTGCATTGGTGGAGCATTGAGCTGAGACTCGGGAGAAGTGGGTTCTAGTCCCCACTCAGTCCATGGAGCT